CTCACTACACGACTCACTACACTACTCACTACACCACTCACTTACACTACACTACTCACTACATGACTCACTCACACTGCACCACTCACTACACGACTCACTACACGACTCACTACACGACTCACTTACACTGCACTACTCACTACACGACTCACTTACACTACACTACTCACTACATGACTCACTCACACTGCACCACTCACTACACGACTCACTACACGACTCACTACACGACTCACTTACACTGCACTACTCACTACACGACTCACTACATGACTCACTTACACTACATTACTCACTACATGACTCACTCACTACACGACTCACTACACGACTCACTTACACTGCACCACTCACTACACGACTCACTACATGACTCACTTACACTACATGACTCACTACATGACTCACTTACACTACACGACTCACTACACGACTCACTCACACTGCACCACTCACTACACTACTCACTACATGACTCACTTGCACTACATGACTCACTACATGACTCACTACACGACTCACTACACGACTCACTTACACTGCACCACTCACTACATGACTCACTACACGACTCACTACACGACTCACTTACACTGCACCACTCACTACACTACTCACTACATGACTCACTTGCACTACATGACTCACTACATGACTCACTACATGACTCACTTGCACTACATGACTCACTTGCACTACATGACTCACTACACGACTCACTACACGACTCACTTACACTGCACCACTCACTACACTACTCACTACATGACTCACTTGCACTACATGACTCACTACATGACTCACTACACGACTCACTACACGACTCACTTACACTGCACCACTCACTACACTACTCACTACATGACTCACTTGCACTACATGACTCACTACATGACTCACTACATGACTCACTACACGACTCACTTACACTGCACCACTCACTACATGACTCACTAAATGACTCACTTACACTACATGACTCACTACATGACTCACTTACACTGTACCACTCACTACATGACTCACTACACGACTCACTACACTACTCACTACACCACTCACTTACACTGCACTACTCACTACACGACTCACTACATGACTCACTTACACTACATGACTCACTACATGACTCACTTACACTACATGACTCACTACATGACTCACTTACACTGCACCACTCACTCACACTACACTACTCACTACATAACTCACTACATGACTCACTTACACTACATGACTCACTACATGACTCACTCACACTGCACCACTCGCGAACCTGGTTCGAGCGAGCGGCCCGCTCTGGGAAGGTTGCAAGTTCAAATCCTGATTGGAGGTTGAATCAGCTCATCATTATCCCTCTTTTTGGGTTCGATAAAATGATCACCAATTTGTGGGTAAGTCAAACGCGGTAGTCCTATGGATGGACTCGCCCTCCCTCCCTCGCACCACTGGGCGCCGCGCGGGGCCGAGTGGAGGGGGGCCGAGTGGAGGGGGGCCGAGTGGAGGGGGGCCGAGTGGAGGGGGGCCGAGTGGAGGGGGACCGGCTCATGGGGGCGGCTGGGGAGGCGCTCGCGCCCCCTGCCGGAGCCCCGCATCGAAGCCCCGTCACACCCCCCGGGCACGTCAGCGGCGTGGTTCGCAGGGCGGTGGTGGGTTACCTGTGATCCAGCACTGTGGGGGCACTGGCGGAGCCAGTGGGGGGGGGGGGGGGGGGGGGGGGGATGGCACGTGCCCCCCCCCCCCCAATGATCCAATCGGATCATTGGGTTTTATTAGTAACAAATCGGCATTTTGCGACCCCCACTGCCACTGTGTAGCATATTATTAAGTGCCAGGCACTCTATGGGATGATCGTACAATAGTCTGAGTCCATAATTGGCAATAGGTAACGGCAAATCAGTTATAAGTGACCCAGAATTGTGCGCAGTTGCGTACACAGGACATTCACCTTCAGGGAGGGCGATGCCGATCACACGACGCGGTTCGAATTCGACCCTCGATCGACGGCTGCGCCATCGCCGCACACGCGTCGAATAAAAAGCAAGGGACAAGTCCTTTCTTCTTACTAACAACTCCTCTATCATGTTTCATTGCTGGAGGGGTTGCCCCCCCCCCGCCATTGTGTGGGGGCAGCGAGAGTCGGTGGAGCACACGAATGTTGTAAACTTCTTCTCCACCACCGGCTCGCTGCCGCCGCCTTCCCACTCGTCTGTGGGTCGTCCTCGCGCCACTGAGTCGTCCTCTCTCTGCCATGAATATTCTCTGCGTGAGAAGAATCCGCTCGTGCGATTCTTGGCCCGCGGCGTCTCCCGTGGCACGCGGACTCGGGCGACCGGCGCCGTGCTCGCCAGCAACGACGACGAGGAGGCGTGGCCTCGTGAGAAACATATCGAGATGTTTATTGTCGCATTTGCTGAGCACGGGTTTAAAACGCCAAGGGCCAGCAACTATACATATATAATAGGTGACGTTTCGGACAATGCTCCTTTTTCATGGAACGAATGGGTAACTGTTCATGAGCAAATTGAAGACTGAATCTGATAACAAGCAGGGCCCCATGGTGCACACTCGGATGTCGTCTCCACCTATGCGATGATAATTTCGTCTCTCGAGTTACAGACGCGACCTCTGGAAACCCCGGGGCGCCATGGCGCGGACCCCTCGTCGCGAGAGGTGTTCGGTGTCACCCAATACGCCGACAAGTGAGCTTGCACAACAATATTCATCTCGAACGCACACACACACACACACAAGTACGCACACACCAGTACACACACGTGCACACACGCACAAGTAACACACGCACAAGTACACACACACCCAAGTACACACACACACGTACACACGCACAAGTATACACACAAGTACACATACGCACAAGCACACACACAAGTACACACACGCACAAGCACACACACACAAAAGTACACACACACAAGTACACACACACACGTGCACACACACACAAGTACACACACACACAAGTACACACACGCACAAGTACACACACACAAGTACACACAAGCACAAGACAACTACCACTTATCCAAAAAGTTAAATGTTATCGACTCCGGCGGGAAGGATGGTGGGTTGAGTCCACCTCCAATCAAAATTAGATCTCGCGACTTTTGGATTGTTCGCTCCACCGCTGAGCCAGCGCCGGACTCGACAATGGGCGCCAAACGAGGCAGCCGAGATTCGCGCGTAGCGAGCAGAGACAGCGAGACGGCGAGCAAAGGCGCGGCACTGCAAGTGCTCGCTCACCCCAATGCTGACGGTAGGGCCTCCACTAGAGGGAGATCGAGAGGGAATTTGGTATACTCGCTCACCAGACGTGTTTGGAGAGGTGCGCGTACCCACACGTTACCCCGCCATCAGCGAGTTTAACTCCGCCGATCATAATCCTCTTGGGAGCAATACAATTAGTACCGTCACAGCGAGTGGATGTCGACAGTGGTTGTCCAACATATTTAAACGCCGGATTCTGCCACGGAAATGTCGAATGTCTAGCATCGGCTCAAAATCCTACGGAGATGGTCGCATGAGTGGGTGGACGCGTGGCCCAGCGGTAGCGCATTCACCACTTGTTGCAGACGTTCAAATGCAGCGGCTGCCCTGGTTATTACTGCGGGTGTCATTCACCACAATGCTACTATGCGCTGATGATTCGCAGTGGATGTGAAAGACCCCCTGACGTCATTCGCAAGAGTAGACCATTGCGTGTCAACGTTAGGGTCCACATTTGCCAAATGTAAAAGTTACCCGCAAATTACGCGATTGGGACTCTACACCCAGCAGCAATCATTGCGCCCGACTGGCAGACTCATGTCCCGAGTCACTCTTGCAAATGAGACCCATCCTGGTATCCTGAGTTTTTACCTGACGACACAAATACACTTGGCGCTTGAAGCCACGACTCTCCGCGGTTACCGCCACGTGGGCCCGGTAGAGGGAAGCATCGGACCGCCCAGCGAGCAGGAGGAGAGCGCCGCCTCCTCCTCCCGCATCCGTCCTCCCGCGGCTCCACACACAGCCCTCAGTGGGAGTGCATCATTTCAACAGCAGTGGTTCAACACGAGCAAATATATTTACCGGTTTCGATAGTCAGTATCTCATCAGCAGTGAGGCTTGCTTGAACCAACGGTTTTTAAGTGGAGATACGGAAATGTGAAGGAGGCAAATTGGCTGCGTCGTTAGTTTGTTATTTATATTCTCTACAGTGACGCGAGTGAATATTCTGCGTTGTGGATTCCAGAGTTTGCATCGAACCAAGACCCATCTATAACAGAGGAGGCTCCTTGCTGTAACACCGCTACAGAGTTGTGCTTGCTGCTGGAAGTATCCACTCCCGGAAAACCGGGTGGCTGATGGAATGTGTAAAAATTAACCCGTAAAAACAAAGTTTTTCACTATAAATCCTTCATATGCGTGGCGGCTAGAGTCCTCTCGTCCTCTGGCTTGAGATGGCTGCCACCTGTGGATCAGATGATTGTCTGCCAGCATTAAGCAATTGGTAATTAAATATTTTAAAAAAATTCCCTAAACAGTGTCAAATTTTGGAACAAAAATTTCACGAAAATTAATTGTCACGCACAACGAGTCTGTGTGGAAAATGTCAGCTCGATTGGATCACGGGAAGTGGGTTAAAAAACGACCGAAAGATTTGCACGGTCGTAAGCAAGCAAGCAAGCACACAAGCACGCAAGCAAGCAAGCGAACTTAATATAAAGGATTTAAAAAAGGATGTTTTATGTGGAGACAGCCACGGGAGGAAGCCGACTCCTGTGCACAGTCACTGTGTGAATCCGGGTCACCTGCTTCGTGCGAACTCATGAGGCACTCGGCCCTCTTCCCGAGCCGATTACCGGTGAGCTCCGTTTCTCTTGCAGCCTCAGCACGTATTTGTGTTTATCATTTATTCAACTGTTCACCTGGAGAATCCATTGCGTCTCGTTTGTAAGGGCACCCAGAGAGGCAAACGACACGTACACAGCAAACACATATCTGAACCAGTCCTGGGCCTCCCCTAGGTCGACTCAGCTTCAAATGAGTGCCAGGTGCAATGAGTAAACATCAGAACTGGGGAGACAAAGGTGGCCAGGCGTGGTGCTGGCCACCCTCTTGTGGCGTGCCGGCCTTCATATGTGCTCGCTAACGGCACTTGCCCCAACAGTGTGTTTAGGTAAAAATGTTAGATCTTTGTCTTTGCCTGTTTGGGTGAGTGTAGCAGCTGTGTGTGTGTGAGTCTGCCTGTTGGTGGTGGGAGGTCGTGACAGGTGGATGTGTCCTGTACGATGAGAGAACACACGGGCACGGCCGGGCGACACATGGCACCACTATCCACCACTCCGACTTTTCCAGACCATTACCTCCCTCCGCCCCTCCGTGATCCTCGCGAGGGGTTAACGAGGGGAACAAACACGGGGGACGGAGCTCGGCAAGCCGGCGCTGGGGCGAGGGGGGTGTTGTCAATTGCGCGGCGATGCGTGTCCCGGTGTCCCCCCTCCCATCCTGTCCCCCCTCACCGGCCCCGCCGCGAGGGGCCTCACCTCGTCCCACTTGCGTGCTGGAGGCGACAGCAGCAGCAGCAGCAAGGGCCGAGATGGAGGAGGGGAACAGCAGCAGCCACCGCCCGGGGAACGAGACGGAGCCCGGGTACGGGATGGGCGCCTCATTCAGCACCGCCGACATCGTGGTGATCGCCGCCTACTTCGCGCTCAACGTCCTCGTGGGCGTGTGGGTGAGTGTGGGGGCGTGGGGTGAGCGTGGGGTGAGCGTGGGTGCGTGGGGTGAGCGTGGGGCCGTGGGGTGAGCGCGGAAGGAGGAGGTGAGGGAGGGGGGAAGATGATGGAGAGTGAGGGTGAGTGAGGGTCGGTGAGGGTCGGTGAGGGTGGGTGAGGGTGGGCGTCGGTGAGGATGATTGAGGGTGGGTGAGTGATTGGGGCGGTCGCGACAGGTCCAGTGATGGTGGATGAGGGTGGGTGAGGGTGCGCGACTGCTTGTCATTAAGGTAATGATTCTCTGTATCCAGGGAAGATGACACAAGACCCTTAACTGTTACAAAAACGCGCTGCTGCGTTCGGCTTATTGGGCCAATGAATGTTTAATTCGAGCCCCGTGTGCAGGAGAAAACCCACGCATGCGAGGAGGTAACACGTCACACTCCACACAGCTGGCTTGCTGTATTGCCATCCGATGCTCATCTCGTGGCCCGAGCCTATAACACCTGACGCTATTCCCACGCAGTCTCCCACACACGCACTCAGCGGGTTTCACTGCTGACGAGCTGGGGCGCATGCATTCAGTCTGCTCCGTTACGCGTTAACAGGGGGCGCGCGCCTTGGACAATGAGTCACCAATTCGTGGCCGTGAGCAGCGGCTTGTGCTGTCTCGGATTTTCATTGGCTCATTGGCCCTGCCAACTTGACAGACACAGACTTTATCTCAGATGGTGAGGTGCATTGAGCTGAGCAACTCTGTCACAAGGACGATCACAATTCATTACCCTGGGCAGTGCTGGCAGTTACAGAGCATTGTAGTTACATAGAGTTACATGGAGGTGCATAGAGTTACAGATATATCTATAGACTTACAGAAAATCGTAGGGTGGTAGTGCAAACTCGCCGGAGCAAAAATAACTCCTACATGTTCCAGAGGTACTATAGACATGACGTCCTGATGCCAGGAATCCATTAGGAAATCTTACAGAGCACCACCTAATCTGTGTCACAGAGTGACCCGTGGAAGAGGGTTTCACAGAACCTCTCTCGCAGCCATTCAAGTGGCTTTGTTGTCCTTTCACAGCAAGGGAGGGCACTCTCCCACACGTCATCCTCTATACGATGATCAACCCGATGCTCTGAATATTTAACTCAAGATAATCATTAGCGCCGTCGTGAATCATGTGCTATTTTCATTTTTCGTATTTCTGATATGTTTTTAATTCTCACAATTTAGTGGGAATTTATCCAAATGAAGGGTAATCATCGGTGGCCAGGGCTGAGAGCATCAACTTGCACAGTTCCCGTGTCATATATTACGAGCCGCGTTGCCTGGGGTCGAACCCCGGGCTCAGCGGTGTCGATCGGCGCTTTCGGATCTGGGCCATCTTCAGGGCGAGACCGACTATGTACCATTCCCTCCCCCCCCCCCTCCCCCCGGGCTCCTTGTAGTCATCGTGCCGCGTGAGCCGCAACACCTTGCAGGGCTACTTCCTCGCCGGGAGGGACATGGCGTGGTGGCCGGTAAGGTGAAGGGCTGGGTGGGGGCGGTCAGGGGAGGGGCTGGTTTGGTTCATCAGGCTTGCTTCCTAACTATGCTACATACTCTATACTACAGCTTAATTTACCCATATCTCATCTACCGCAATATTGTCTGGGCTAATACATATTCTTCCTACCTACATGAATTACACCATCCAAAAGAACTGGCCACCTCCTCTAACTACTTGGCACCATTTGCCCCAATGTTCAAGAAGCTCAATATCATACTCAAAATATGCACGTTCATCTCTAAATGCACTTAACTCCAAGACATCGTACCGAAACCCTGCAAAGTATTCTTCCAGGTTAATTCCAAATTCCATGCATACAACACAAGACACTCCGATACAACCTTCACCCTCCCCATTGCCGCACCACACAAAGTCAATTCTGCATCAGATACAGAGGTTCCCTACTCTGGAATTCCTATCTTCACATTGCCAAAATATCATCATCCCTCAATAACTTCAAGCATAGACTCCGGGTCAGCCTGATGAGCCAAACTACCCAGTAGTCTCCTCCATGTAGCCTAACTCCCACACACACACGCATAAGCACACATGCGCACGCAAACACGTCGTTTTTTGAACACTGAGTTTAACATGTTTAATTGTAATTAGTATGATTTGTTTAATCGATCGAACAATCTGTTTTGTAAAAACATTGTTATTTTTTTGGAGTGGGTTTCATATGCCCCTCTTGAGTTTCCAACCTCACTTGCACACCTTTTGACCTTGTTTATTTAAATTTGCACTGTTTGTTTTTCACTAACTATTCTTGTGCGAATAATAAAATCAACATCAAGGGAAGGGGCTGGGTGGGGACCGGTAAGGGGAGGGGGGCTGGGTGCAGGCTTGCCCCAGTGGGGTGGAGGAGCAGCAGAGTGGAGGTTGAGTTGAGTCCCCACGTCCCCCCGCGTCTGCGCAGATCGGAGCGTCTCTGTTCGCCAGCAGCGAGGGCTCGGGGCTCTTCATCGGCCTCGCGGGGACCGGCGCAGCAAGCGGCATCGCGGTGGCGGGGTTCGAGTGGAACGTAGGGACCACCCCGCGCTCCGGCAGTCTCACCCCGTACTGGGCACACACCAGCGCGGGATCTGTATGGGGCGTTGGGCGGTGTTAAGAAGACGTTAAGGGAAAGGCTCGGCTGAGTCGAGGCATTTGAAGCCGGACGGTGGTGGCACGCGCCTGTGATGCAGCACTGTGGAGTCAGTGATGGTTGGTGCATCACACAAAAGTTGTGAATTTATTTTCTGTGGGCATCGAGGAGCCATACCCCGGCTCGCCAGGAGAGGGCGGTAGAGCAACATGTGGAAGACACCTACCCCCTCACTACCCCCTCACTACCCCCTCACTACCCCCTCACTACCCCCTCACTACCCCCTCACTACCCCCTCACTACCCCCTCACTACCCCCTCACTACCCCCTCACTACCCCCCTCACTACCCCCTCACTAGCCCCTCACTACCCCCTCACTACCCCCTCACTACCCCCTCACTACCCCCTCACTACCCCCCTCACTACCCCCTCACTACCCCCCTCACTACCCCCTCACTACCCCCTCACTACCCCCCTCACAACCCCCTCACTACCCCCTCACTACCCCCTCACTACCCCCTCACTAGCCCCTCACTACCCCCTCACTACCCCCTCACTACCCCCTCACTAACCTCCCTCACTACCCCCTCACTACCCCCCTCACTACCCCCTCACTACCCCCCTCACTACCCCCCTCACTACCCCTCCCACTACCCCCTCACTACCCCCTCACTACCCCCCCTCACTACCCCCTCACTACCCCCCTCACTACCCCCTCACTACCCCCCTCACTACCCCCCTCACTACCCCCTCACTACCCCCCTCACTACCCCCCTCACTACCCCCCTCACTACCCCCCCTCATTACCCCCTCACTACCCCCCTCACTACCCCCCTCACTACCCCCTCACTACCCCCTCATTACCCCCCTCACTACCCCCTCACTACCCCCCTCACTACCCCTCACTACCCCCCTCACTACCCCCTCACTACCCCCCTCACTACCCCCCTCACTACCCCCTCACTACCCCCTCACTACCCCCTCACTACCCCTCCCACTACCCCCTCACTACCCCCTCACTACCCCCCTCACTACCCCCCTCACAACCCCCCTCACTACCCCCTCACTACCACCCTCACTACCCCCCTCACAACCCCCTCACTACCACCCTCACTACCCCCCTCACTACCCCCCTCACTACCCCCCTCACTACCCCCTCACTACCCCCCTCACAACCCCCCTCACTACCCCCTCACTACCCCTCCCACTACCCCCCCTCACTACCCCCTCACTACCCCCCTCACTACCCCCCTCACAACCCCCCTCACTACCCCCTCACTACCCCCCTCACTACCCCCCTCACAACCCCCCTCACTACCCCTTCACTACCACCCTCACTACCCCCTCACTACCCCCCTCACTACCCCCCTCACTACCCCCTCACTACCCCTCCCACTACCCCCTCACTACCCCCCTCACTACCCCCCTCACAACCCCCCTCACTACCCCCTCACTACCCCCCTCACTACCCCCCTCACAACCCCCCTCATTACCCCCTCACTACCACCCTCACTACCCCCTCACTACCCCCCTAACTACCCCCCTCACTACCCCCTCACTACCACCCTCACTACCCCCTCACTACCCCCCTCACTACCCCCCTCACAACCCCCCTCACTACCCCCTCACTACCACCCTCACTACCCCCTCACTACCCCCCTCACTACCCCCCTCACTACACCCCTCACTACCCCCTCACTACCCCCCTCACTACCCCCTCACTACCCCTCCTCACTACCCCCTCACTACCCCCTCACTACCACCCTCACTACCCCCTCACTACCCCCCTCACTACCCCTCCCACTACCCCCTCACTACCCCCCTCACTACCCCCTCACTACCCCTCCCACTACCCCCTCACTACCCCCCTCACTACACCCCTCACTACCCCCTCACTACCCCCCTCACTACCCCCCTCACTACCCCCTCACTACCCCCCCTCACTACCCCCTCACTACCCCCCTCACTACCCGCTCACTACCCCCCTCACTACCCCCCTCACTACCCCCCCTCACTACCCCCTCACTACCCCCTCACTACCCCCCTCACTACCCCCCTCACTGCCCCCTCACTACCCCCCCTCACTACCCCCTCACTACCCCCTCACTACCCCTCCCACTACCCCCCTCACTACCCCTCACTACCCCCCTCACTACCCCCCTCACAACCCCCCTCACTACCCCCTCACTACCCCCCTCACTACCCCCTCACTACCCCTCCCACTACCCCCCTCACTACCCCCTCACTACCCCCCTCACTACCCCCCTCACAACCCCCCTCACTACCCCCTCACTACCCCCCTCACTACCCCCCTCACAACCCCCCTCACTACCCCCCTCACTACCCCCTCACTACCCCCCTCACAACCCCCCTCACTACCCCCTCACTACCCCCCTAACAACCCCCCTCACTACCCCCTCACTACCCCCCTCACTACCCCCCTCACAACCCCCCTCACTACCCCCTCACAACCCCTTCACTACCCCCCTCACTACCCCCTCACTACCCCCCTCACTACCCCCTCACTACCCCCCTCACTACCCCTCTCACAACCCCCCTCACTACCCCCTCACTGCCCCCCTCACTACCCCCCTCACAACCCCCCTCACTACCCCCTCACTACCACCCTCACTACCCCCTCACTACGCCCCTCACTACCCCCCTCACTACCCCTCCCACTACCCCCTCACTACCCCCCCTCACTACACCCCTCACTACCCCCCTCACTACCCTCCTCACTACCCCCTCACTACCCCCTCACTACCCCCCTCACTACCCCTCCCACTACCCCCTCACTACCCCCCCTCACTACCCCCCTCACAACCCCCCTCACTACCCCCTCACTACCCCCCTCACTACCCCCCTCACAACCCCCCTCACTACCCCCTCACTACCACCCTCACTACCCCCTCACTACCCCCCTCACTACCCCCCTCACTACCCGCTCACTACCCCCCTCACTACCCCCTCACTACCCCTCCCACTACCCCCCTCATTACCCCCTCACTACCCCCCTCACTACCCCCCTCACAACCCCCCTCACTACCCCCTCACTACCACCCTCACTACCCCCCTCACTACCCCCTCACTACCCCCTCACTACCCCTCCCACTACCCCCCTCACTACCCCCTCACTACCCCCCTCACTACCCCCCTCACAACCCCCCTCACTACCCCCTCACTACCCCCCTCACTACCCCCCTCACTACCCCCCTCACTACCCCCTCACTACCACCCTCACTACCCCCTCACTACCCCCTCACTACCCCCCTCACTACCCCTCCCACTACCCCCTCACTACCCCCTCACTACACCCCTCACTACCCCCTCACTACCCCCCTCACTACCCCCTCACTACCCCCCTCACTACCCCTCCCACTACCCCCTCACTACCACCCTCACTACCCCCCTCACTACCCCCCTCACTACCCCCTCACTACCCCCTCACTACCCCTCCCACTACCCCCTCACTACCCCCCTCACTACCCCCCTCACTACCCCCTCACTACCCCCCTCACTACCCCCCTCACTACCCCCCTCACTACCACCCTCACTACCCCCTCACTACCCCCTCACTACCCCCCTCACTACCCCCTCACTACCCCTCCTCACTACCCCCTCACTACCACCCTCACTACCCCCTCACTACCCCCCTCACTACCCCCCTCACTACCCCCTCACTACCCCTCCCACTACCCCCTCACTACCCCCCTCACCGAACCGCGTCTTTCCGATCCTTCCCAGGCCACCTACGTGCTCCTGGCGCTCGCCTGGGTGTTCGTGCCCGTGTACATCTCAGCAGAGGTAGGGCTCCCCCCCCACACCCCCTTTCCCCTCCACCCACCCCCATTCCTTTTACCCGCTCGCCCCTACTCCCCCACTCGCCGCCTCGCTGTGTCGACACAGGCCCAAAACGTCAAGCAGCCAGCAACAAACAGCACTAAGTTGCGATACTGTACTCCGTTGGCAGTGGTGCACAAATAACACAACTCATCACATTCACCAATACCACTGTGGGGGGGGGGGGGGTGTTACAAACATGATGTATAACAGGCGACTTTTCGAGTAGGAAAGGCCATTGCCTAAAACGTCGCCCAGTAGATACATTTATTTTGAAGACCACACACAAATAGTGTCCCTGAGAAATGTGTTGAGTTTTCTGGAATAGGTTCGGGGGTTCACGCGTTTCTTGCATTGAGCAAAGTGAGTATTATTATTATTATTCTAAGAGCTTGGGGGAAAGGGACGACGATGGGAGGAGGGAATTCCACCGTGAAGCAGAGCGAGAGAAGCAGCAGAAGGGGAAGTGAGATGACCTGCAGTGCGGTGAATGGTTGGGTGAAGGAATGAGTGGATGAGAGAGTGGGTCAGTGAGCTCGGGGCTGGGAGCTCCAAATCAGGTTCGACTCCAGGTCCCAGCGAAGGGCGCGTCGCGCTGTGTGGGGCTGCAGATCGTGACGATGCCCGAGTACCTGCAGAAGCGTTTCGGCGGGGAGCGCATCCGCATGTACCTGTCCGCGCTCTCCCTCCTGCTCTCCGTCTTCACCAAGATTTCCGTGAGAGTCGCGCCCGCGTTTCCCCTGCGCCCCCCACCTCTCCCACACACACTCCGCGCACATTGCGCGCCCACCCTCCCCCTCCTCACTTCATGCTCTTGTCATGTTAGTGGCCAGGTCACTCTTGCACACGAGACTCTCTTGGGCTCTCACCTGGTTACACACTCCCTGTGTCTCCACACGAACACTGCCCGTTTTAGCCTTAACGGGTTACACACTCCCTGTGTCTCCACACAAATACTGCCGTTTTAGCCTTAACGGGTTACACACTCCCTGTGTCTCCACACAAATACTGCCGTTTTAGCCTTAACGGGTTGTTGCGGCAAGCAAGTGCTCATCTTAGCGAGCATCTATTCAGGCGAGCACGGTACGAGGTGGTGGCCAGGACCACGCCAGGCCGCATTTGTCTCACCAGGGCTGATGATTACACGCCAAACCAAGTACTCAATCAAGACTGAGTTGACTTGGGAGAGGACCTCGCCCCGTTCAGATTTTCGTCACCGTTGATAGCCATAAGCGGAGATTAAACTCGGGATGCGGGTTGATAAGAGCAGTGCGCTAGCCACGTCGCAACCAACCCCTCGCCCACCCTCGCCGCGCCCGCAGACCGACCTCTACTCGGGGGCGCTGTTCATCCACGTGTGTCTCGGGTGGAACCTCTACCTCTCCACGGTGCTCATGCTGGTGGTGACAGCACTCTACACCATCGCGGGTAAAGCCAACGGGCCGCATCACCAGCGCCATCAGGGGTGGTGGAGATGGGGTGGTGGAGTAGGGGTTGAGTAGGGGTGGTGGAGGAGGGGCGGTGGAGTAGGGTTGGTGGAGTAGGGGTGGTGGAGTAGGGGTGGTGGAGTAGGGGTGGTGGAGTAGGGGCGGTGGAGGAGGGGTGGTGGAGGAGGGGTGGTGGAGTAGGGGCGGTGGAGTAGGGGTGGTGGAGTAGGGGTGGAGTAGGGGTGGTGGAGGAGGGGTGGTGGAGTAGGGGTGGTGGAGTAGGGGCGGTGGAGGAGGGGTGGTGGAGTAGGGGTTGAGTAGGGGTGGTGGAGTAGGGGTGGTGGAGGAGGGGTGGTGGAGTAGGGGCGGTGGAGTAGGGGTGGTGGAGGAGGGGTGGTGGAGTAGGGGCGGTGGAGTAGGGGTGGTGGAGTAGGGGTGGTGGAGATGGGGTGGTGGAGTAGGGGTTGAGTAGGGGTGGTGGAGGAGGGGTGGTGGAGGAGGGGTGGTGGAGTAGGGGCGGTGGAGTAGGGGTGGTGGAGTAGGGGCGGTGGAGTAGGGGTGGTGGAGGAGGGGTGGTGGAGGAGGGGTGGTGGAGATGGGGTGGTGGAGGAGGGGTGGTGGAGTAGGGGTGGTGGAGGAGGGGTGGTAGAGGAGGGGTGGTGGAGTAGGGGTTGAGTAGGGGTGGTGGAGATGGAGTGGTGGAGGAGGGGTGGTGGAGTAGGGGTGGTGGAGATGGGGTGGTGGAGTAGGGGTGGTGGAGTAGGGGTTGAGTAGGGGTGGTGGAGGAGGGGTGGTGGAGTAGGGGCGGTGGAGTAGGGGTGGTGGAGTAGGGTTGGTGGAGTAGGGGCGGTGGAGTAGGGGTGGTGGAGGAGGGGTGGTGGAGGAGGGGTGGTGGAGGAGGGGTGGTGGAGGAGGGGCGGTGGAGTAGGGTTGGTGGAGTAGGGGCGGTGGAGTAGGGGTGGTGGAGTAGGGGTGGTGGAGTAGGGGTGGTGGAGTAGGGGTGGTGGAGGAGGGGTGGTGGAGTAGGGGCGGTGGAGTAGGGGTTGAGTAGGGGTGGTGGAGTAGGGGTGGTGGAGGAGGGGTGGTGGAGGAGGGGTTGAGTAGGGGTGGTGGAGGAGGGGTGGTGGAGGAGGGGTGGTGGAGGAGGGGTGGTGGAGTAGGGGCGGTGGAGTAGGGGTGGTGGAGTAGGGGTGGTGGAGTAGGGGTGGAGTAGGGGTGGAGTAGGGGTGGTGGAGGAGGGGTGGTGGAGGAGGGGTGGTGGAGTAGGGGTTGAGTAGGGGTGGTGGAGTATGGGGTGGTGGAGGAGGGGTGGTGGAGTAGGGGCGGTGGAGTAGGGGTTGAGTAGGGGTTGAGTAGGGGCGGTGGAGTAGGGGTGGTGGAGTAGGGGTGGTGGAGGAGGGGTGGTGGCGTAGGGGTTGAGTAGGGGTTGAGTAGGGGTGGTGGAGGAGGGGTGGTGGAGGAGGGGTGGTGGAGGAGGGGTGGTGGAGTAGGGGTGGTGGAGGAGGGGTGGTGGAGGAGGGGTGGTGGAGTAGGGGTTGAGTAGGGGTGGTGGAGGAGGGGTGGTGGAGGAGGGGTGGTGGAGGAGGGGTGGTGGAGTAGGGGCGGTGGAGTAGGGGTGGTGGAGTAGGGGTTGAGTAGGGGTGGTGGAGTAAGGGTGGTGGAGGAGGGGTGGTGGAGTAGGGGTTGAGTAGGGGTGGTGGAGGAGGGGTGGTGGAGGAGGGGTGGTGGAGGAGGGGTGGTGGAGTAGGGGCGGTGGAGTAGGGGTGGTGGAGTAGGGGTGGTGGAGTAGGGGTGGAGTAGGGGTGGTGGAGTAGGGGTGGTGGAGTAGGGGTTGAGTAGGGGTGGTGGAGGAGGGGTGGTGGAGGAGGGGTGGTGGAGGAGGGGTGGTGGAGGAGGGGTGGTGGAGTAGGGTTGGTGGAGTAGGGGTGGTGGAGATGGGGTGGTGGAGGAGGGGTGGTGGAGGAGGGGTGGTGGAGTAGGGGTGGTGGAGTAGGGGTGGTGGAGATGGGGTGGTGGAGGAGGGGTGGTGGAGGAGGGGTGGTGGAGGAGGGGTGGTGGAGTAGGGATGGTGGAGATGGGGTGGTGGAGGAGGGGTGGTGGAGGAGGGGTGGTGGAGTAGGGGTGGTGGAGTAGGGGTGGTGGAGATGGGGTGGTGGAGGAGGGGTGGTGGAGGAGGGATGGTGGAGTAGGGGTGGTGGAGGAGGGGTGGTGGAGGAGGGGTGGTGGAGTAGGGGTGGTGGAGGAGGGGTGGTGGAGTAGGGGTCGTGGAGGAGGGGTGGTGGAGTAGGGATGGTGGAGTAGGGATGGTGGGGTAGGGGTGGTGGAGATGGGGTGGTGGAGATGGGGTGGTGGAGGAGGGGTGGTGGAGTAGGGGTCGTGGAGGAGGGGTGGTGGTGGAGGGGTGGTGGAGTAGGGGTGGTGGAGTAGGGGTGGTGGAGGAGGGGTGGTGGAGGAGGGGCGGTGGAGGAGGGGTGGTGGAGTAGGGGTGGTGGAGTAGGGGTGGTGGAGGAGGGGTGGTGGAGTAGGGGTGGTGGAGTAGGGTTGGTGGAGTAGGGTTGGTGGAGGAGGGGTGGTGGAGTAGGGGTCGTGGAGGAGGGGTGGTGGAGTAGGGGTGGTGGAGGAGGGGTGGTGGAGGAGGGGTGGTGGAGGAGGGGTGGTGGAGGAGGGGTGGTGGAGGAGGGGTGGTGGAGGAGGGGTGGTGGAGTAGGGTTGGTGGAGTAGGGTTGGTGGAGGAGGGGTGGTGGAGGAGGGGTGGTGGAATAGGAGTGGTGGAGTAGGGTTGGTGGAGTAGGGGTGGTGGAGGAGGGGTGGTGGAGTAGGGGTCGTGGAGGAGGGGTGGTGGAGATGGGGTGGTGGAGATGGGCGGTGGAGTAGGGGTGGTGGAGTAGGGTTGGTGGAGGAGGGGTGGTGGAGTAGGGGCGGTGGAGTAGGGGCGGTGGAGATGGGGTGGTGGAGATGGGCGGTGGAGTAGGGGTGGTGGAGTAGGGTTGGTGGAGGAGGGGTGGTGGAGTAGGGTTGGTGGAGGAGGGGTGGTGGAGGAGGGGTGGTGGAGTAGGGGTGGTGGAGGAGGGGTGGTGGAGGAGGGGTGGTGGAGTAGGGGCGGTGGAGTAGGGGCGGTGGAGATGGGGCGGTGGAGTAGGGGTGGTGGAGGAGGGGTGGTGGAGTAGGGGCGGTGGAGTAGGGGCGGTGGAGTAGGGGCGGTGGAGATGGGGCGGTGGAGTAGGGGTGGTGGAGGAGGGGTGGTGGAGGAGGGGTGGTGGCGTAGGGGTGGTGGAGTAGGGGCGGTGGAGGAGGGGTGGTGGAGTAGGGGTGGTGGAGGAGGGGTGGTGGAGGAGGGGTGGTGGAGGAGGGGTGGTGGAGGAGGGGTGGTGGAGGAGGGGTGGTGGAGTAGGGGTGGTGGAGGAGGGGTGGTGGAGGAGGGGTGGTGGAGGGGCGGTGGAGTAGGGGCGTTGGAGGAGGGGCGGTGGAGTAGGGGTGGTCGAGTAGGGGTGGTGGAGTAGGGGCGGTGGAGTAGGGGCGGTGGAGTAGGGGTGGTGGAGATGGGGTGGTGGAGATGGGCGGTGGAGTAGGGGTGGTGGAGTAGGGTTGATGGAGGAGGGGCGGTGGAGTAGGGGTAGTGGAGTAGGGGTGGTGGAGTAGGGGTGGTGGAGTAGGGTTGGTGGAGGAGGGGCGGTGGAGTAGGGGTGGTGGAGTAGGGGTGGTGGAGTAGGGGTGGTGGAGTAGGGTTGGTGGAGGAGGGGCGGTGGAGTAGGGGCGGTGGAGTAGGGGCGGTGGAGATGGGGCGGTGGAGTAGGGGTGGTGGAGATGGGGTGGTGGAGATGGGGCGATGGAGTAGGGGTGGTGGAGTAGGGGCGGTGGAGTAGGGGCGGTGGAGTAGGGGCGGTGGAGTAGGGGTGGTGGAGTAGGGGTGGTGACTGCGTCTCTCTGGCCTCACCCCATCGTGATCCTCAGGGGGCCTCGCTGCCGTCATCTACACGGATGCGCTGCAGACGGTCATCATGATCATCGGGGCCGTGATCCTCAGCGTGTCCGGTATGCGGCCTACACTCCCTGACCCCCTCTGACTCTCCCTCTGCTTCCCCCCTCCACCCCAGTCCCTTGCCCCTCCACTCAATCCCCTTGCAACCCTCTCACATGACCCCCCTTGCTCCCCACTCGCACCTTCTCATTGGCAGCGTTCCGACAGATCGGGGGCTACGCAAGGCTGGAGGAGGTTTACCTGCGTGCGATACCAGCGCGCATCATCCCCAACGCCAGCTGCCACTTGCCGCGCGCCGACGCCATGCACATGTTCCGCGACGCGCGCTCCGGGGACCTGCCCTGGCCCGGGATGCTCTTCGGCCTCTCCATCCTAGCCACTTGGTACTGGTGCACGGACCAGGTACGCGACAGCTGCTCTCGCAGTCCTGGGACATCCATCCGAAAGCGGGCGCGAGGCCGTGGTTCCGTTGGTGGGGTGGTGATGTCGTGAATATCTGAACCGGTGCTGGGCCTCGACTCAGCAGTAAATGAGAATCCGCACTGGGAGACAAATGCCACACTACCCCCTTCTAGGTGCAAACAGCACTTGCCCCAACGCCTATGTCGGCTATACGGGTGGCCTTTGTCTGCGTAGGTGATCGTGCAGCGCTCGCTGTCCGCCAAGAACCTGAGCCATGCCAAGGGTGGCTCCATTTTAGCGAGCTACCTCAAGATGCTGCCCATGGGGCTCATCATCATGCCTGGCATGATCAGCCGTGCTCTCTACCCCGGTGCGTACCCTCACTCGACTACTCACTATCTCGCTCACAATGAATTCAATCTTTCACTCACCCCATCATTATCTCGCTCATTCGCTCTCACTCCACTCCCCCACTCTTAACTTGATGCACCGCCTTCCTCGTCCACTCAAATCACCCGCTCACTCACCCTCTCGCTTCCCTCGCATGCAATTTGCCCCCAGACTCTGTGGGCTGTGTGGACCCGGGCGAGTGTCGCAAGGTGTGTGGCTCGGAGGTCGGCTGCTCCAACATCGCCTACCCCAAGCTCGTCATTGAACTCATGCCCAGCGGTTAGTAGTGCGCCATGGAGGGTGGGTGGCACGGGGGGGGGGATGTGTGCACATAAATTTAGGAATCGGAGACGCAATGAGGCGGCGCAAAGTTTCTGACAAAATCAACTCACGACGCATAGGGGATGGATGTGTGAATACACGATGTGTACATGATGTGTGTGTGCATGTGTGTGAGCGTACACACACTGCGTGTATGTTCATTTGTGTGAGATCTTGGGGAAAAGAAAATCCCTCAGATAAAAATATGGTGCAAGATTGGGTTTACCCTGCTGGGCCTGAAGTGTCTGAAATATTGAAGGCAGTATCCACCTCCTGTGAGTGATTGGCTGACGTGCCATCTGTTAAGGAAGTGTCAAGAGCAATACAGAGCCTGAGATCAGGTTAAGCTCTAGGCAGAGGTGACCTCTCAAGCGAACTGTTGAGGATGAAATTTGTTGTGCAGTATGTTATATACGACATCATTACAACCATCTGGTCCGCAGGACAGATTCTGCATGATTGGAAGGTTGCCCTGTTGGTCCCCGATTTTTAAGAAGGGGGACCGCACAGATTGTAATAACTAATCGGGAATCTCCCTCCTTAGTGTGCCGGGATAGGTCTTGACAAAGATCATTCAACATCGGCTTGCTGAGAGGCTTGATGAGCCCAATCTGGTTTCAGACCGAGGCGGTCCTGCATAGACGCCCTACTCTCTGTCCTGTCTGCGACAGGTGTAAGAAATTATAACAGGACCTACATCTCTGCTTAATTAGTGATCCAGATTTAATTGTGTGAGAAGCTCACAGACCTTCGAAAATCTGGACATGGTCCCATTAGTGAGCTCCTCTGGCAGGCAAGGCTCCTCGAGAAGTGACGGGCTGATGTGGTACAGAATGTGGATTTGAGTGGGCTGCCGATGACTGGTACCAACGGTATTTAGATCGGCACCTGTGGAGGAGGCTCATGGAGGATGCTACGTGGCAATTGGAGGCAGTCGCCCTCCAACAACAACAGAGAGCGGAGGAGCGACGCTCACATGGAGCGAAGCTATGGGTTGATACAACGCAGCAAGTTAGCAGTGGGTCTGTTCTGTGACCTACCAATAACAGTGATCCTTCTATACTTCATGTGATGGCCTCAAAGTGCACCTAGCCTGGCACAAGCACCGTGGTGATGTGACTGTCGCTTAGTGGCGGAGAGCGCGTGTTACTGTAAGTACACTGCGTACGTGCTCGTGTGTGTGCAGGACTGCGAGGACTTATGATCGCTGTGATGATGGCTGCCCTCATGTCCTCCCTCACCTCCATCTTCAACTCTTCCAGCACACTCTTCACCATGGACATCTGGAAGAAGTTCCGGCGCCGTGCCTCTGAGCGGGAGCTGCTGCTTGTTGGAAGGTTGCGCGTGTGCGTGTGTGCGCGGGGAGTGGTGCCGCTGGGGTCCGGTTGCCTTGAGGAAGAGCGAGACGCTGGTGGTGGGAGCGACGGTGGTAGAAAGGTGTTGGGTGCGCTGTGGAGTGTTTTGTGTGTGTGTTGCAGTGTCCGTGTGCGTGGGGAGCGGTGGCGGGTCGGTTAACGCACTGCGCTTTGAAACTGGCGACCCGAGTTTGATTTCCACTCATTTCCAACATCGATAACGAATATCTGAACCGGTCCTCGGTCGACCCAGACTTAAACTAGTACCTGGCACGGTGTATAAAACATCAGCATTGGGGAGGCAGAGGTGTTATCAACCACCCCTTCCTACGCCGTGCTGACCTTCATAGGTGCTCGCTGACAGTACTTGCCCCGACAGCCTGTGTGGGCTACACAGGGGATCTGTGTCTCTGCGTGCTGCCCAGGCTGGTAACCGTGATACTGGTGGCCGCGAGCCTCGTCTGGATCCCCATCTTACAAAGCGCCAACAGCGGGCAGCTCTACGTGTACATCCAGTCGGTGACGAGCTACCTGGCGCCGCCCGTCACCGCCGTGTTCGTGCTCGCCGTCTTCTGGGAACGCACCAACGAGAAGGTGCACACGTCGTGCGGCGGTGGTGATGGTGTTGGTGTTGATGGTGATGGTGTTGGTGATGATGGTGTTGGTGATGATGGTGTTGGTGGTGGTGTTGGTGTTGATGGTGGTGATGGTGGTGATGGTGATGGTGTTGGTGTTGATGGTGGTGTTGGTGGTGGTGTTGGTGATGATGGTGATGATGGTGTTGATGGTGGTGATGGTGTTGATGGTGTTGATGGTGTTGGTGGTGGTGTTGATGGTGGTGATGGTGTTGGTGTTGATGGTGGTGATGGTGGTGTTGATGGTGATGGTGTTGATGGTGTTGGTGGTGTTGGTGATGATGGTGGTGTTAGTGTTGATGGTGGTGTTGGTGGTGATGGTGGTGATGGTGTTGATGGTGTTGGTGGTGATGGTGGTGATGGTGTTGATGGTATTGGTGGTGGTGATGGTGGTGTTGGTGGTGGTGTTGGTGATAATGGTGTTGATGATGATGGTGTTGATGATGATGGTGTTGATGATGGTGTTGGTGGTGATGGTGGTGATGGTGTTGATGGTGGTGATGGTGTTGGTGGTGATGGTGGTGTTGGTGTTGATGGTGGTGATGGTGTTGGTGGTGTTGGTGGTGATGGTGGTGTTGATGGTGTTGATGGTGGTGATAGTGATGGTGGTGTTGTTGGTGGTGGTGGTGGTGTTGTGGCAGAAGCTGATGCCCGCGTGTGCTCACAGGGCGCCTTCTGGGGGATGATGGTGGTGTTGGTGGTGTTGGTGGTGTTGGTGTTGATGGTGTTGATGGTGGGGATGGTGTTGGTGTTGATGGTGATGGTGGTGATGGTGGTGTTGTTGATGGTGGTGGTGTTGTGGCAGAAACTGATGCCCGCGTGTGCTCACAGGGCGCCTTCTGGGGGATGATGGTGGTGTTGGTGGTGTTGGTGTTGATGGTGTTGATGGTGTTGATGGTGGTGATGGTGTTGGTGTTGATGGTGATGGTGGTGATGGTGGTGTTGTTGATGGTGGTGGTGGTGTTGTGGCAGAAGCTGATGCCCGCGTGTGCTCACAGGGCGCCTTCTGGGGGATGATGGTGGGGCTGGCGCTGGGCGTGATGCGCATGGTGCTCGAGTTTGTGCACCCGCCGGGGCGGTGCGGCGAGGCCGACCTGCGCCCCACCATCGCCCGCCTGCACTACCTCTACTTCGCCATCATCCTGTGCGGCCTCAGTGCCATCGTCATCGTCGCCGTCAGCCTCCTCACCGAGCCACAGCCACGCGACCAGGTGGGTGGGTGGGAGTTGGCAGGGTGGGGGAGGATGAATGGCGTGGATGGGTTTTGCACGCGCTGAGGGTGCTCATGTGCCTACTCACACACACATATTGCCATGTCTATTCGTGTATATCTGAATTGGGGAGGGAATGGTGGCTGGGCATGGTCCTGGCCACACCACTTCCTCAGCAGTGGGGGGCTCCCGGGGGGTCCCTTGTGGCCGTGTGCACGCCAGGTGGTGGGGCTCACGTGGAGGACCGCGTCGCACAGGGCCGCGCGTCGGCGGCGCACTCTCCCCGCCACCACCACCACCCCCCCGCACAAAGGTGACCCTCCCAGGCCTGACCCAACGACCGCCGCCGCACACGCGCACAGGAAATACCCACAAAGTCGATCGCAGGTCACCGCGCTGGGGCGTCAGAGTCCAAGTTAGGAAATGGCACCGCTGCAAGTTACTCGTTTGGGACGAAGCGCACAGCAACCGCCGCCCCCTACTGGCACACGAATGCCACAGGTCACTCTTGCAAATGACTCATCCTGGTCTCGAGTTTATACAAGACTAAATACGTCATATATGTTTTAGAAATGCGCAAGTCCTTTTGCACCGAGCCCATAACACCTGGTATCCCAGGTGCCAACCGGCCTCAACGTTGCACTCCTCACGAGAGCCAGCAAGCAAGTAACATTGATCCCCTCACATTACACACTTTATTTTCCTCGCTTTGCGATTGTTGAATTCCCATCTTCGGGCCCGGACTTTCGATGTGGAAGAGCGCCGTGCCCCGCGTGAACTGGAGGCGAGGTAAAGGTGCAGCCCCGCAATGGTTCCCTTGTGCCACTGCCGGAGGAGCAGCTTCCGTGGCTGGTGTTTGCCACAGCGGACGGGCGCTCACGGTCCCCTCTCCCATCCCCGCCCACCGCAGGTTGCGGGGAGCCTGGCTGCTCTCGCCCCTGGGGGGGGGCCGGCAGGGGACTGTGCGTCGGTGATGCGGCCCCGCCGCCCCCCGCCGTGGTGGCCCCGCGGGGCCAGGCCGCGAGGGATGAGGGCGAGCGGCCCCTGTGGGCCCGGGTCTGCTGCATCAACGCCGTCGTCCTAATCGGCGTCAACATCTACTTCTACGGCTACTTCGCTTAGAGGCGTGGCCGTCGAGGAGCAGATGCCACTCATCAGCACGCTCACCGGACTCATAATTACGCACTCACTTCGGCCAGAATGATCCGACGCCCTGCTGATCTGATTGGATGTTTATTGATTAAACTCAACTCTTGTTCAGCAGGGAGCTGCCAAGCTCACACTTGGGGGTGATATTGTTGCTGCTGTGTAATTCCAGTTGAGTAATTTGCAGGTAATTTTCAGCATTGGGATATTTGGCCAATCCCAGACAACATGTGTGTGTTTTTAGCTACGAGAGGAAATCAGAAAACCCAGAGGAAACCCACGCACAGCAGGGGAAACCATACAAACTCCACACAGAGAGGTTCCCGGGTACGGACTCCGACACGACTGCGCTGCCGTCTTGCCGCCTGGTGTGCTGGTCGAGTCTGGAATGGAATCCAACTCAAAGAAGCCACACATCGCGCCTATTTATATTTTACACATCCCATCACTCATGCTAATGAGACGCTGCACTGGTCCACAGTTTGGCTTGTAAATCTTGACTCAAAGCTTTCGTGACTCAGGAATTCATATTCCTTGGGTCTTTCGGTAAAGTCACATTATTTTCTTTGAAGCTATCTACATGGCTTTACCTAAAGACCCAAATAAAATAGCTTTTGCTTGTGTTGAACCAATAATGCTCAAATGTTTCGCAGAAGGATGTGGCCAATGGAACGAATCGAGATAATCGACTGCCAATGTCCGCTCCAGCCCCACAATGCGGCAGGACACATCCCCACCTCCCAGCGAAGCTCCCCATCGCACCACTCCACGCACACGAATTCTCATCGAAGTGCTCGTTAACGTTACTGCTTACGAGGACCTTAATTGGCATTGGCGATTTTATTGACATGATGCATGTGCTTGCTAAAACAATTGGTTGTGTATGAAACACACTCCAGAAATCCAGCGAATAAAGATCCTGAGGTTCTGTCAGTGAGCAGATTGCGCATGGTTCCAGACGTCTGCAGGTACCACCTGAATCCCCAACCCTGCCCCCACCACCCACACTCGAGCACCATTGCAGTGTCAAGTCTAAAACGACCAAGTAGTGGTCCCTGGCCTTGCTGGGCAGTGGCTTGGGACATTGGCACCACGTCCGATGGCTGGCTTGGGACACTGGCATCACTGCTGCCTGGAGGCCAGCCGAGCCACTCATTCCCACTCAGAGGGCCCATTCATCAATTAGCGACTTGTTGCTCGCTGCTTACAGTGGCTGGTCCCTCACCACTCGCAGGGGCCTGTCGCGCACCACTCGCAGCAACCTGTCGCTCAGCACTCGGTGGTCTGTGACTCGGCACTAAGTGGACTGTCATCACTAAGTGGCCTTGGGCACATCGTCAGCCATGTTCAGTTTTGCAGCGGGAGGAGAGTTAACGAGGAGCTGCTCAAAGTACCTGGCCCACACAGGCCGACACTCTCCAGGGTCTGATACAAGAGATCCATCGGCCACTTTCAGAGGCCCCTCGAGGTTCACGTTTGGAGCACCCGATCGGCTGGCCAGGGGATCACCGGACACAGGTGACTTGTTCGGGTAGCCAGAAGTGATTTGTAATGAAATATGTTGCTGGTTATTGTGTTGAACTATATTGTAAGAAACTGCACAGTGGTTTTGACAGATCCAGGGCCCGTGTTTGCTCTATGGAAGAGGTGAGTCCCCGTGCACAACCGAGAACAGATGCCTGTGGAAGGGGAGTGGGTAAAGGGAGCATCGCATAAGGAGCCTACAGCGTAGCCGGCACCGTGTCCCCCACCGCGGGCAGCAGGGGGCACTCACCGCACTGCGACGTCAGACGCGGCTCACAGACACGCGAGTTTCTGAGCACAAGGCAAAAAAACCCAAACGCTAATTGGCCAGCAACGATCACCACTGTCAAAGCTGTAATAGGTATCAGGTTTCTTGAATTGAGCAACGTTGAGTTGAGCAATGAGACCGAAGGGAATTCCCAAGTGCAGCAGTGCGAGGGAAGAAGCAGAAAGAGAAGCGAGGTGACCTGCAGTGTGGCTCGAGTAGATGGGTGAGTGTCTGTGTGAGAGGGCGAGTGGGTGGGTGAGTGTATGTGTGTGTGTGAGAGGGCGAGTGGGTGGGTGAGTGTGTGTGTGTGTGTGAGTGGGTGAGTGTGTGAGAGGGCGAGTAGGTGGGTGAGTGTGTGAGAGGGCGAGTAGGTGGGTGAGTGTGTGAGAGGGCGAGTGGGTGGGTGAGTGTGTGTGAGAGGGCGAGTGGGTGGGCGAGTGGGTGGGTGAGTGTGTGTGTGAGAGGGCGAGTGGGTGGGTGAGTGTGTGTGTGAGAGGGCGAGTGGGTGAGTGTGTGAGAGGGCGAGTAGGTGGGTGAGTGTGTGTGAGAGGGCGAGTGGGTGGGCGAGTGGGTGGGTGAGTATGTGGGTGAGAGGGCGAGTGGGTGGGTGAGTGTGTGTGTGAGCGGGCGAGTGGGTGGGTGAGTATGTGGGTGAGAGGGCGAGTGGGTGGGTGAGTGTGTGTGTGAGAGGGCGAGTAGGTGGGTGTGTGAGAGGGCGAGTGGGTGGATGAGTGTGTGTGTGAGAGGGCGAGTGGGTGGGTGAGTGTGTGTGTGAGAGAGCGAGTGGGTGGGTTAGTGTATGTGTGAGAGGGCGAGTGGGTGGGTGGGTGGGTGTGTGAGAGGGCGAGTGGGTGGGTGAGTATGTGGGTGAAAGGGCGAGTGGGTGGGTGAGTGTGTGTGAGAGGGCGAGTGGGTGGGTATGTGGGTGAGAGGGCGAGTGGGTGGGTGAGTGAGTGTGTGAGAGGGTGAGTGGGTGGGTGAGTGAGTGGGTGAGTGTGTGTGTGTGAGAGGGTGAGTGGAAGGGTGAGTGTGGCTTGTTGTAACTTGCAGTATTGTGGTTGAACACAGTATGGATGTAGACGAAACAGTCTGGTAGATATAGTCCTCAACATGTGTAGAGGAATCAGTTAGAAACGTTCGCAGGAAAAGTAACCATGGTAGTAGCAACAATAGAAGAGTGATAGGGAGGCGACCGACCAATGCTGAGCGAGTGAGCGAGCAACTAAATGAATCAATCACCCTGACTGCTTCACTCTGAATTCTATCCAACGCAGGGCAGTGAGGTAGTGAGTGGAGGCCCTGTGCTTTATTACCAAGTCAGGCTGATGAAAGATCGGCCAATTTTCAACCAGATTGCACCATCACCGGTCATATGTCGCAACCTCATTGGCTGCTCTGAGAAATTTTGAATGTGGTACCGACCCTGCTGATAAAACTGTTTGGCGGAAGTCGCTGAAACGAGGATTTGCAAATCCAATGGGCGTGTGCGTATTGCCCACTGCATGTTGTGATACACGTACAGAAACACGCGTTACATCAGGCACCACAGAGCATGGTTGTCACCACCATCAGAACTTCAACAATTATCTAAAATATTACCTGATTGGATTCTCTAGGAGTAACATTGCATGATCATCATAACAGTACAGACATGACGGAAAGCAAAACAGAGGGCGGAATGTTATTATTGTCGTTATTGTTATAAAAAAATCACAGAAGAATCGTCACACCTGCTACAACAAACCAAACGATGCCAACGCAGCATTCGGCCTGAACGAAGCCAGACACGCAAACGCCCGGGCCGCACGCCACCCGCGCCAGGATCGCCCCCCCGATGGTGGCGACGCCCTCTCGCCCAAACCCGAGGCCTCGCCCATGATGCGACCCCCACGTCATGGGCCGCCTTCGCATCTAAACCGAGTGTGTTAACGAAGCGTGGGGAATCGCTCTCGCAGGCAGAGGGAGCACGGAGTGAGGGCTCTGTGTTCCCAATGGTGACAAACCGGACCGTGCCGGGCAACGGCAGCGCCGGGCGAGCCGATGCGTGCGCAGGCACGCCATTCCACAACTGTTCCCACACAGCCCCGGGCACATTAGGCAAACTCATCGTGGGCACACGACACCACCCGACAGCTCCCGGGCACCGACAGCCTTTCTGTTGTCTCTACAAAATATCACGTTAAATACTGAGCACTCAATTGTCATTTAATTAGAAAACATGTCGGAAACAATAAACAATTAAAACGGGCGCGACGGAACTGAGACCGGAAGAGTGAGGGCGCAGAGGGGAAGTGTTGCTCGAGTCTCTGCTCCGCGAGCAGAGAGAGAGAGAAGACACGTGGGTCCGGGGAGGGCCAGGGCCGGACCTGCCAGTGTGCCGCGCCAGTTACTTTGCGAGAGTGACGTAATTACGGGGGAACATCCCCGCCCGGCCGTGACACGAGCCCTTCCACCAGTTGGGATCGGAGCTGTCCACCACCGTGATGAAGTCTCCCCGACGGAACCCAAGCTCCCCGTCCTCCTGCGGCTCAAAGTCAAACAGGGCCTGCACGCGCGTCGCCGCCTGCAAACAACACAAAGACAAAGATCCCCCATGTGGTCTTAACCAACTGCTGAGGCAAGTGCTGTTGGCGAGCACCTATGAAGGCTGGCACGGCACGAGGGATGGAGCGGCCAGAAACGTGCCTGGCCGCCTTTGTCTCCCCAATGAAGATGTTTACACACCACACAAGGTCATCATTTAAGGCTGAGTCAATGTAGGGGAGGCCCACGACCGATTCAGATATCCGTCCCCTATGTTGGCCGTGCACGACAATTGAACTCTGGCCATCGGGTTCGCAGTGCAGTGTGCTAATAACTAGAGACGCTGCACGTATGATGGTGAAAAAAAATAACTGGAATCGTGATGTGAACCACGACCCCGCATCGTGAGGGGGCCAATTACTACAAGAAGTAACGGCACAGGCACCGTGCACAGCGCAGGAGCCGCACGGCTGGGCAGCGAGTAGCGTCCACCACCATCACGGTCTACTTCACACAAAGTCGCGATCATGTCGGAAAAACACTCGTGTGGCAGCAGCAGTGAGACACGTGGGTAAACAGTGGTGTGTTTGAACAGCGCTGAGCGGCCAATTACACACAGCTGCTGTTGCTGCCGGCGGTGGTGGCAGCAGCTGAGTGGCAGTGGCTCAACGCTAATCGCCGCCACTCGCACTGTGCACATACGTTCACTCCCGCCAGCATCACCACCACCCCAACCCAAGCGGTGAATGGGACCACCTCCCGCCCAGTGATAGAAATATCCAGACCCAGCTCTCAATCCCAGGTTCTTAGATGTGCTGGCGTGGCGTATTGATGGCCATTATGATCCCACCGTGTAATAGACACCTAGACAAAGATCTCGAACCCATAATCTCAGTGGTACTGGTTCAGTGTATCAGACACAACCAGTAAACCTCCCGAGACATAGGGGCTCGGCAGCAGTGGCATGGCGTTAATCGCCGCGACTCACGCCGCGCACAGAGAAATTAATTCTCACTCCGCCGGCACTACCACCCCCTCCCCTCCGCTTGAGATCTTGGAGCGTATCAGAGTTGCCACCACCAGCATCCGGTTAGAGGGTGGTGCGTCAAGTGTGCCTCGTGCCTCCACCGCCACGCCCAAGCCCCACCCCTCCCCCCACCGGGGGCTCACCTGTGGTAGCTGCTCCATGTCCCGCAGGAAAATCTGCTGCGTCCTCGACACGGACGTGTTGCGGTGATACTCCACCAGCTCGTTCAGGGAGTTGAACTTGACGACCCACAGGAAGTATTTCCCTGCACCGTCCCGCAGCACCTTAAAATGCTGCACGTCGTTCCCAAACCTGGAACGCACGCAGATAGCTCCCTTGTAGCCCCCCCCCCCTTTGAGCTGGTGGCATGTGTAAGGTAGAGGGCCTCTGTTTGTTAAAGCTAGCGGGTATTACGACCAGGAAGGTGAATAAGTGTGGTGGGATGTGGCAGGCACCATTCAGGCCAGTGTTTCCTCCAGTGCCGATATTTATAGCGGAGGCTCAGGAGTAGTTCAGAAATCACTGGCCATTGATATGAGCTGCCGCAGGGAATCCAACCCGGGTTTCCACCACGCACGCGCACGCTGAGGCACGTACGTCACAAAGGCAGAAACGCACACACTCACCATATGATCACTTCCCCCGCACTCGATTTTGATGTTATACTGTAACTTGAGGTATTAAGAATGGGTTTTTAAAACTACTTTTTTTCCAGCCAACTTGTTACTGGAAATTTTATATTAGTTTTGTTCGTGCACTGTTTGCAATATCATCTGTGATGTGGTTGTTTTGTTATGATTTCTATTTGGTTATTTTTTGCTCTGACTGGTATTTTGTTGTTTTTGCGCCGATTGCTATTTGAACCTTATGGCAGGACTCCGGGGTCCCGAATAAGTCAAAATTGTAATCAATTTATTTATTTTTGGCGACTCCGTCCCACCGCGCACATCAACGCCGCGACCCACCAGAAATCAATCCTCTCGTTCTTCACCAAGCACCCGTCGTTGCCAAAATTGCCAGAATCATAAACAAAACTTTGAAACTTTGATTAGAGTGTCGTGTAGAGCTCGTCGAGAGGAATAGATTGCCACATCGTTCACCTTCAACAGACATAAAATGACGTCGCAACGCAGTTCATGCGAGAGCCGGGGGCTTATGGGACACTGGGGTCCCGCCATCAGGTGAATTTGCTGCTTTGCTTTGCTGCACTTTACGTTCATGTTTTTGCTTCTGTTATTTTGGCGACCTAGGTTGGTGGAACAGTTGCTCTTTCAAATGAGATTCTCATCCTGGTCTTTTGAGTTCCCACCTGGTTCCACAAAATCAACTTGAACCATATAAGACAACAACCGCACGGCACATGAAGACAACCCTTGAGCCGCGAGAATGCGGGCGGCACAGACTGGAGCAGAAGGGGGCGGACGGCTACAACTTCCTCCTGGGTCACTCGAGCGCGCAGTAGAGGAAATGTTCGTCATAACTAAGCCGCCCTCTCGTCATCCGTTATGAGGGCTAAGAGCACTGCTCTGGGTTAGTTCACATTATTGAAATGAGTTGCGCTCCAAGAACAGCCGAAAAACGGAAAGGTGGCAAGCAGTGGCAGCCATTTCAGGAATTGAACAGCTCTGACCCAACCTCACCAACTTCTCGAAAGCCTCAAGCAAATCGTTGCCCATTACACAATGTCCCCTGGACTCAATGTTAACCTCCAGATTAGGGGCAATCAGCCACGGAGGGCGGGGCCGGGATAAGCGACACGCCGCTTCCTTGTGGCGACGTCGGCGCAGCGACTCGCTCGGCGCCGCACACGTGGCGGCGGGAATGCCCCGTCGCTGACAGGCTGGGCAGATAAGGCAAATAACCAGGACCGTGGTGTGAAGTCCTTGTGGTCGCCGGTGGTGATGGCGCGTGGGTGAGAGGCGTGCGGGGGGTGTGAGGCCAAGTGTAAGTGCAGGCTGGGGTGGGGGCCGCACGCCCACACTGCAGGAAGCGGCACCCAGGAAAACGTGGGCAAGCAGCCTGGGTCGTCACTAGAATTGGTTTGTTCTGTCTCGAAAAATATAATTAAACTGGATAGTACTGGTTTGCCACATGTACAGAGGGCATTAAACAACCTATTTAGCTTGATTTAACCGAGCAGCAAAGGCAGATGCCATATTGGTGCAATAGCACACTAGACTTTCAATCTAGCAAGAGTAGACCAAATACCCACTGGAGCTCCCTCTAGTGGAGGCTCTTCTGTCAGCATTAGCGTGAGCGAGCAATTGCAGGGCTGCATCTTTACCTTTTAATTGAGACACAATGACAAATGAACCACGCAGTGACTTAGTCAGCCAGAGATTTGACGTCAGCATGAGCCAATCAGTGCATTTGTTACTCACGTTCCTGGAATTGGTTCCTGCTTTGCAGAACCGATAACCTATTTTTAACACGGTGACCAGCGTACCGGTTACGGGTTAACAAGTGCGCACGCCACACGAAGCGACGCTCCCCAGGAACGCAGGATCGTCGCTCACACTGGGCCGGCCGCTCGTGCTTTACCGCTATCCCCCCACGGCTCCAAAAGAGGAAACAATGCCGCTCGCGTAACAGAATCAACGGCATGCACCCACACCAGCATGCTCCGGATAAGACCTGGCGACAGCCAGCAGCAGCTCCCATCACAATGTCTACTTATAGAGCCCCCATATTCCTTGTCGTGGCTTGGCTCTGACTCGGCTTCGAACGTGGCCCAACTCGGGCTGGAGCTGCTCAATTGCTTTCAAAGACATCCCAGCGAGAGGTTCGGCGTGGCTCGCGTAAATCCCGAGTGCGGCTGGGACCACTCTGACAGCCGGCTCAAGTCAAACGTAGGGCTTTGAGCCGGCTCACGCCAGGCTAGAGCCAAGTTGGAGCCAAGCGGTGACTGAGACTACGGGCCATAGTGTACACGGTGTACGTCGCGAACGGCACAGTTCACGAGACATGACAAGCGACATGCAGGTGCACGCCCACACACACAACATGTGCACAGATGTACCGGTACTCGCGCATACAAAAAGACAGCAACACACACGCAGCTCGACGTTGCCAGTCCAGTGATCACGTGTGAGATTTGTCATCCTTGGGTGCGTTTCTGCCCTTGCAATGCACGTGTCTGGGTATAAGTCTGTGTGCCTCCTTGCTTGCTATGCAGGCCTTCATAGGTGGTCACTAATAGCATTTGCCTCAAAAGTCTGGTAAGGCTTCACAGGGGATCTATCTTTGTAGTGGAGAGACGAGGTTGTTCCCCTTGACAGCTCAAATCAGTGCCCCAACTGTGAACATTTGGAAGGACCCTCCTGAACGAGCCCTGAGACTAAGTGCAGCTATCCTGGGTGAACCAAGTGAAATAACCAGGACACAAAGACGTACACGCGTGCCGCACTCACTTCACCGACAGGGAGAAGTCCCCTGGAGCACTCTCACTCTCCCGCACCAGGAAAGCGCCATCAAACTTCTGCCGATTGAGCATCTCCTCTGCCTTGACGCGCGGGATTTTCCCAGTAAACCATCTGCACACACTCACACGTTCCCTGTGTTAGCAAAGCCGCACACCCACCCATATCCACCAACACACCCATAATACCCACCACCCATACCCCCCCCACCACTCATAATACCTAAACATATCCACACAATCATACCCAACCATAATTGTTTTGGACAAATTACGAAAAAAAATCACGGGTTACAGAAACAGCAATATGGATGACTATTGCACGTAAACAGACGAGGGCATGTGTCCATTATGACTGCGGGTGACGTGATCATGAAGGCTGGGGCTCGCTCACAGGTGGGGCTTCATGTCGATGTAGTTCTTGGGTATGAATCCATCGCGTCCGTTCAGCTCTGCCTTGTACCAGTTCTGGTCGCAGTCTTCGTTCAGGACCTGCCACGTGAAGCCAGGGAGACCCACGTTAGCCTCGTACGAGCATTCCTCGGGGACTCGTGAGTCCAGCAGTGCTTCACGTCTGTTCTATAACTATTGTTATACAATTATTACCGTTGTTGACCTGGGAAAGCCTCACAAAACGACAAGACTGTTTCAGCAGAGTCCTGCCAGGCGTCCAATGTTGCTATGTGTCATTCCATTTGAGTAATTTGTAAGAAATGTTTCAGCATTAGGATGTTTGGCCAATATCGATTACATTCTATGTGTTTTTCGCTATCGGAGGCAACCGGCCAACCCACAGAAAACCCACGCAGAAGAGGGGGAGAAACACACCCACTTCACATTGCACGCACCCGAGTCGGGAATCGAACCCAGGTCTGTGAGGCGCAGGTGTTACCACTGCGCTACTGGCCTGCCACCCGCCACCACACACACGAACCTTGACTATGTACACTTCCATTTACCGCCCTTGTCAAGCCACTATTGAACGAAGGCCTCTCCACGACACGTCGGTACATGGAGGTTGTTTGACCATGTTGATGAAGATGGTAGTTCAGCATTAGTTCAAATATCTCTCGCCAACGTTGCTAGTTATGGCCGTAAGTTGAACTCGGTTCGCCAAGTTTAGAGCAAAGTCCGCAAACCAAAGTGCCACCATCCTCACAATTAATTACACGACCCTAAATGGTGGTTGCTGTTGTTTAAAATATTTGTCACTTCTATTCTGAGATTCCATCTGTATGTATGTACTTGTTTTTTTACTAATGTAACCGACTGTGAATTCCACTTCTCAGTATAAATTTGCTGTGACTTTCAATGTGTTTTTACGCAGTGTACACCAACTACTCAGTGTAAGTGTCCGTCAGTGTGTGGTGGCGATCAGTGTGTGTGGCGTATATGTTGAACTTCTTTCGCACCGTACGTAGCCAACCGTGCTAATCGGCGAGTGTGGTTTGTGTGCGAGCGTGTTGCATGTCGGAATTGTGGTTGCCTGTGGCGAGTTTGTTGTGGAGTGTTTGAATTGGGGTGTGTGTAGTTAGGGCCGTACGCGTTGGGTGGACAATATGGTACGGTGGTTGTCGTGTGATGTATGTGGTGTAGCTGTAGTGTGTATGGTGTATACAGTCGTATTTGGGTACTGTGTGCGATGTGCTGTGTATAGGTCGGGTCAGCCTCGAATGGTGCGGCCTGTGGTTGTGCTGGCCACCCACCCACCCAGTCGTGCCAACTCTTCACAGGTGCTCGCTAACAGCATATTCTCCTACAGTCTGTTCAAGGCTATACACGGGGGAGCTTTGTCTCTGGACGTATGGAGGTGGGAGTGCGAAGTGTTGTAGTTCGTGGTGGGACGTGGGCGGTGATGGGAGTGTCGCCTTGAGAACGTCGCTCCGCTTGAAGCTCAGCTCGTCCTCGGCTGTGGCGTTGAAGTCGTATTTGGCCACGGCTTCCATGTCCCCGAGCGAAGGCCCCGCTCGGCCTCACACGAGACCTGAGATCAGAGGGGGGGGGGCAATCACAGGGACCACTCCACCGGATACTCAGCTCCACTCTCCCCGTCAGTCTCTCCTCGCTTTGCCCGGAGAGCGCGTACGGTGGGGTACGGGGAGAGACGGACTCACTCGCTCTCCTTGTTGTCCTGGGCCTGGTTCCTCCTGGTCCCAGTTGGTTCCGCCTGCTTCGTCTCCTTCCTCCTCCTCCTGGCACCGGTCCCGACCCTTCCGGCTCCCTCCCGGTGCTGCTCCCTCCTGGTCCCTGTTGGTCCCTCCTCGCCGCGGACACCGTTGGTCTCCGTCACCGCAGACTCCGCTGGTCCCTGTCGCTATGGTCCCTGTCGCTGTGGTCCCCGTCACCGCGGACTCTGCCGGTCCCTTCTGGTCCCCGTTGGGCCCTGGTGGTCCCCGTTGGGCCCTGGTGGTCCCCGTTGGGCCCTGGTTGGTCCCCGTTGGGCCCTGGTTGGTCCCCGTTGGGCCCTGGTTGGTCCCCGTTGGGCCCTGGTTGGTCCCCGTTGGGCCCTGGTGGTCTCCGCCGATCCTCGCTCGCCGCAGGCCCCGCTGGTCCTGGTCCCTCTGAGGTCCGAGCCGAGGCTTCCGCCACTTCCGCGTGCGGCGCGCGCCCACCAAAGTCTCGCGAGAGTTTCCGCGTGAGGTGCGCGCCGACCAAAGTCTCGCGAGAGTTTCCGCGTGAGGCGCGCGCCGACCAAAGTCTCGCGAGAGTTTCCGCGTGAGGCGCGCGCCCACTAAAGTCTCGCGAGAGTTTCCGCGCGCGTTCCGGAGTCACGAACCGCAGGCCAAGTCTCACGAGATCACGGGGGGTAGAAGTGACGCGTTGCCAGACCGGAGGGTTTACCTCGCATCGTGGCAGGGCCGTTCCGCTCGCGGGCACTCAGGTGGCTGCACGACGTCTCGGGGTTCACGGGGACGATCTGGAGCTTGAGGGAACTCGCAGCGGCTCACGGGAGTTCGAGGGTCTCGCAGGGGGTCGAGGGGCACCGCGGGTCTCAGCGGGTTGGGTTCTCGGCCCCTTTCCCACTGGCACATCCGAGCCGCGCCAGCGCGGGACCCTTACGGTATATGTTGTTTTCCACTTGCTATTTGCTGTACCAAACCGTGCTACGCTGGCCTCGGATGACATCTGAGTCGGGCTCGGGGCCACGGTGCACAGCGCTCAAGGAGAGGCGCCAGGGGGGAGGAGGAACGAGCGGGAAGGCGGAGAACTGGCCATTTATACCCCCCTCGCCACAAGCTCTGCGACCCTTGTTATACGAAGATGTTTTCGGCCAATTAATGAGTGTTTACACGTGGGAGGGAGCCCCAGTGCCCTGGGAACCCCCATGCCCTGGGAACCCCAGTGCATGACCTGCTGTGGGGAGCAGCGCTCTCCTGCGGATGGAAGCAGGTGGGGTCCACACTTCCTTGCTGCACCTCGACGCCCACAGGGAAGAGGATTGCACAACATTTGTGTGATCCAACAACCCTGGCTGCCTCCTCCACGGTGCTGGGCCAGAGCTGTTGTGTTCGCCGCCACTGCCTGGACGAAGATGCATCGTGACATGGCCCCTTCTCGCCGTGGCGCCTGCCCAAGGCCACCCGCGGCTTGAATGCCGCAGTTCACCCTCGTCTGTGTGCGCGCTCTCGTCAACATGCCGACGCTGCTGCCGGGGTCGTTCCAAGCGTGCACCTCCTCCCCGTTGTGTGCGCACTCTTCAGGGTTTATTCCAGAGAAGTGTGGCGAGTGTGTTGTGACCTGCAGTGTGGTGGCAGTTGAGCACAGTGGTGGACCGAGCCCTGAACATGGGCGGATGAATACAGCAGCGAAGTTCACGTGGATCATGGTGGTAGGGATAGGGAGGCGACCAACAGCTGGTGAGGTGACTGAGATTAATCAGTTCCGGATCATCATTCGCCCGGACTGATGACTTCCTCTGAATTATATCAAGTGGGTGCTCCCCCCAGATATGAGAACAGGATTTAAACTTGGGACGAATGTGTCCTCTGTGTCGCAGCTCTAGCAACTGCGCTCTGTGTAGCGATGTAGTCATCGTTCTGAATTAGATGCTTTGGCACGGAACAGAAACCCCGGCCTCTTCCATGCCTCCTTAGCTAGATGAGTATTCTTCTTGGTTCTTTCGGTAAAGTCACGTAGAATGGAAATAATAAAGTAATAAAATTTAAACATAATAAAATAATTCTCACGACGTTTCGGCCACAACGCAAGCAGCCGTCCTCAGGTGGAGAACAGGTCTGTCGAGAAGATGAGTATTACAGTGCAGCCATCCCATGACAGAAGTTCATCAACCCTCACTACATTGCATTGCAACTCCGCCGATAAACGCAAACACGCGTGGTAACGTTGGTGTCTCGGAGAAACTGACACATCGCATCTTTGTTCAATAAATCAGCTTGAGAGAACACATACAAAACCGCACTTTGTGTATATTCACGCGCGCTCGCAACTCAACGTGTGCACGTGTGTGTAGATAGCGTGCTCAGTTACACAGGGGAGCTATGGGTACCAACCACGTGCACACAAGAAGCCGCGGGGCTGCGTGGACACAACTTGCCCCCTTAAATGGCCCTCTGCCTCATCGTTATGGAGGAAGGGGAGGAGGGGTGCACTGCCAGGGGCCTGGGTAGAAATGCCACGGGATCTGAGAGGTCAGGTTTTGAGGGGGTCAAGGGCTGGTACTGGGGTCGCCATCCGTCCAGGTTTGACCCGGACAGTCGAGGAATCGGCATCAGCTGTGTTCGTCCAACAGGAAAGAATTTGTACCGAGATCTTGTGGTGGAAATGTGTTCAAATGTATTATTACAGTGAACTGCAAAGTGGTTCTGATAGACCGAAGCGGACTGAGAAAGATGTCCGGGCTTGCTCTGCGTAAAAGGGGGCGGACACTCATGGCAACACGTCCTGGGGAGCCTGGGGACTGAGTGGTTGTTGTTGACGTTGTGACAAGGAAGGAAAGAGGAGTTGCGGCAGCTGTGTTCCATGCGTGGCGGGTGGGCGGTGTCCAGTTGTGGTAAGCGGTTGGTGAGTTGTGGTAAGCGGTTGGTGAGTTGTGGTAAGCGGTTGGTGAGTTGTGGTAAGCGGTTGGTGAGTTGTGGTAAGCGGTTGGTGAGTTGTGGTAAGCGGTTGGTGAGTTGTGGTAAGCGGTTGGTGAGTTGTGGTAAGCGGTTGGCGAGTTGTGGTAAGCGGTTGGTGAGTTGTGGTAAGCGGTTGGTGAGTTGTGGTAAGCGGTTGGTGAGTTGTGGTAAGCGGTTGGTGAGTTGTGGTAAGCGGTTGGTGAGTTGTGGTAAGCGGTTGGTGAGTTGTGGTAAGCGGTTGGTGAGTTGTGGTAAGCGGTTGGTGAGTTGTGGTAAGCGGTTGGTGAGTTGTGGTAAGCGGTTGGTGAGTTGTGGTAAGCGGTTGGTGAGTTGTGGTAAGCGGTTGGTGAGTTGGCCAAGGGGCTCTGGGCCCTCCTCTCCCAGTGCGCGTCTTTGTGAAGCCGCGTGCACATCGCAACCCGCAGTCCGAGCCCCATCGAGGGCAGCACCAGAGTCTCGCACACAGCTCCTGCGGATGGCAGATCTTCACCATGTCTTTAAGATTGACTTCGCCATGGACTTCATTATTTAACTATCAAATCTACCATCATTTCAACCATCGCCAAATACATTTCACCATCATGTTACCAGCATTATTTTCCACGAAAGAAATACCATGAATTCTACCATTGCACCATCATCTTCATCAATTCCACCATCATCTTCACCATAACGTGTTTATTATAACATCGATAGTGTTGTTTGTTGCTGACCACTTGACATGTTGGGCCTGTGCTCAGCAACTGTTTAAGAAAACACTAAAACTATCATCATCTTTACCATCAGCGTCACCATCACCGTCATCTTCATCATCTCGGCCGCCTGGGTGCCGATAGGCACGGTGGATCTGACCCCGGCCCCACTGTCCGCTCCGTGGCGCCTGATCCCAAATGCCCCCGGGCCCTCGGGCCCCCATGCCGCTCCCTCTCCTCGCTGCCCCCCACTGCTGCCCCTCGCCGTCCGCACGATCCCCTGGTGCCGGCACGAACCGCGCCTCCATCCTCCTCCTCCCCGGGCTCCGCGTCAGCAGCTGCAGCCTCCGCTGGACCCGGCCGCGTCCCCCTGGGACCCGCGGGGCCCACGGCAGCCCCACCGGCACGGACCCTCGGCGGGAGGCAGCAGTGGCGTGGGGGCAGCGGAGAGGGCGCGGTGGAGTCGCGGGAGGTGGACTGGCGTGACCCGCGTCCCCACAGATACGAAGAAAGGGACCTCATCCCCACGTTCTCCTGGGACCCCGTCTCGGCGGCCCCCTGTGGAGGGGGTGGAGGAGGGGGCGCCGAGGGCGAACAGGGGTCAGGAGTCGCACCGGAGCTGTTGAAACATTCACGACGCCAGGTAGACAGAATGGTGTGCGTCGTCTTAGAAAGAGCGCCTTCAAGTTCAGACTCGGGGACAGTAGCGCAGTGGCCACGCTCCTGCTGTCTCACAGCAGCAAGACCTGGGTTCGATTCCCGACTCTGGTGCTTTCCGAGTGGATGTTCATGTTCTCTCCCTGTTCTACACGGGCTCCCTCGAGGTTCTCCGGTTTCTTCCTGGGGCTAAAGCACACACACAGTGTGACTGGTGTTGACCAAACATCCCAATACTGATAACAACATGATAATTACTCAATTGGGATTACACACGGCAACATGGCCCCCGACTACAGCGGACCTTCCTTAAAACGCGTCTTGAGACTCGGTGAGGTTTTCCTGGGTAAACTCGTGGAATTACAACATGGCGACAACAAAGCCTTGTAAATTTAGGAGAGACCCGAGGAGACGCCAGGACACTTGGTCGTCAGCTGTCCAAGAGCCAAAATAATCAACCGACAGGAGCATCATGAACGGCAAAAGCATTGAGTAACATTGATAGATGATCATTTGTATGATTATTGATATAATTATTCCCAACTTCACTGAGTGTCATGACTCCTTTCGAAGGGCCTTTCTAAGTTGTCGTAGGAGGAGGGCAATGCTGCTCGTGTGTGTTCCTATTTTAATAATTTGCTTTATAATAATTGTTTTAGTAATTTTATACCAGGACGCCGGCAAACAGTGGCGTGCTCTTTTAGAATGACGTCAGGGGAACTTAAACGTCCACTGTGAGTGAAGCAGACGCGGCGAGTTGTAGTTTACGATGACGCACACCGCAGCAATCGCCAAGGGCGGCTGCCGGCTTCGAACGGCGAACCTCGAACGATCCCACTGAGCCGCCGCGTCGCCGCCGCCTCAAAGTGGCGATGCAATCGCACAGCAAACAGCTGGGGGTCGGCCCGCCTGGGGTTCCACTACGATGGCTGAACTGGTTCAAATCTGCTTCGGAAGGTTCGGTTCTGCTCAACCGCTTGTCAAAAACTGGTATAAACCGATAAAAAAATTTCACATTCTCTCGAATGCAACAAAACTAAGCGGTAACGATGTTGGTGTCAAGTTTACCTCTGTTGCTGTGACTCAGTGGCGAGGTGGACACTGCTGAGTGTGGGTGACTCAGTGGCGAGGTGGACACCGCTGAGTGTGGGTGACTCAGTGTGGAGGTGGACACCGCTGAGTGTGGGTGACTCAGTGGCGAGGTGGACGCCGCTGAGTGTGGGTGACTCAGTGGCGAGGTGGACGCCGCTGAGTGTGGGTGACTCAGTGGCGAGGTGGACGCCGTGAGTGTGGGTGACTCAGTGGCGAGGTGGACGCCGCTGAGTGTGGGTGACTCAGTGGCGAGGTGGACACCGCTGAGTGTGGGTGACTCAGTGTGGAGGTGGACACCGCTGAGTGTGGGTGACTCAGTGGCGAGGTGGACGCCGCTGAGTGGGGTCACTCAGTGGCGAGGTGGACGCCGCTGAGTGGGGTTGACTCAGTGGCGAGGTGGACAGCGCTGAGTGTGGGTGACTTCAGTGCGAGGTGGACAGGCCGCTGAGTGTGGGTGACTCAGTGGCGCGGTAGACGCCGCTGAGTGTGGGTGACATCAGTGGCGAGGTGGCCGCCGCTGAGTGGTGGGTGACTCAGTGGCGAGGGGCGAAACGCGAGTGTGGGTGACTCAGTGGCGAGGTGGACACCGCTGCGTGTGGGTGACTCAGTGGCGAGGTGGACACCGCTGAGTGTGGGTGACTCAGTGGCGAGGTGGACCAGCTGAGTGTTGGGTGACTCAGTGCGAGGTGGACGCCGCTGAGTGTGGGTGACTCAGTGGCGAGGTGGACGCCGCTGAGTGTGGGTGACTCAGTGGCGAGGTGGACGCCGCTGAGTGTGGGTGACTCGGTGGCGAGGTGGACGCCGCTGAGTGTGGGTGACTCAGTGGCGAGGTGGACACTGCTGAGTGTGGGTGACTCAGTGGGGAGGTGGACACCGCTGAGTGTGGGTGACTCGGTGGCGAGGTGGACGCCGCTGAGTGTGGGTAACTCAGTGGGGAGGTGGACACCGCTGAGTGTGGGTGACTCGGTGGCGAGGTGGACACCGCTGAGTGTGGGTGACTTAGTGCGGAGGTGGACACCGCTGAGTGTGGGTGACTCGGTGGGGAGGTGGACACCGCTGAGTGTGGGTGACTCAGTGGCGAGGTGGACGCCGCTGAGTGTGGGTCACTCAGTGGCGAGGTGGACACCGCTGAGTGTGGGTGACTCAGTGGCGAGGTGGACACTGCTGAGTGTGGGTGACTCAGTGGCGAGGTGGACACCGCTGAGTGTGGGTGACTCAGTGGCGAGGTGGACGCCGCTGAGTGTGGGTGACTCAGTGGCGAGGTGGACGCCGCTGAGTGTGGGTGACTCAGTGGCGAGGTGGACGCCGCTGAGTGTGGGTGACTAAGTGGCGAGGTGGACACCGCTGAGTGTGGGTGACTCAGTGGCGAGGTGGACGCCGCTGAAGGTGGGTGACTCAGTGGCGAGGTGGACGCCGCTGAGTGTGGGTGACTCAGTGGCGAGGTGGACGCCGCTGAGTGTGGGTGACTCAGTGGCGAGGTGGACACCGCTGAGTGTGGGTGACTCAGTGGCGAGGTGGACGCCGCTGAGTGTGGGTGACTCAGTGGGGAGGTGGACACCGCTGAGTGTGGGTGACTCAGTGGCGAGGTGGACGCCGCTGAGTGCTGGTGACTCAGTGGGGAGGTGGACACCGCTGAGTGTGGGTGACTCGGTGGCGAGGTGGACGCCGCTGAGTGTGGGTGACTCAGTGGGGAGGTGGACACCGCTGAGTGTGGGTGACTCGGTGGCGAGGTGGACACCGCTGAGTGTGGGTGACTCGGTGACGAGGTGGACACCGCTGAGTGTGGGTGACTTAGTGCGGAGGTGGACACCGCTGAGTGTGGGTGACTCGGTGGGGAGGTGGACGCCGCTGAATGTGGGTCACTCAGTGGCGAGGTGGACACCGCTGAGTGTGGGTGACTCGGTGAGGAGGTCACCATGGGGTCTGGCCTCTCTGATGGACGTGGGGGGCACGTCCACTCCGGGCTTGGCTCAGACACAGGAAGTGCGGCAGGGCCTGCACAGAATGGGCAGATGTCAAAATCACTGCGGTGGTGACCCCCGTGCCTGACAGCAGCAAACACCTGCGTGGAGTTTGTTTGTTCTCCCCCTGTTCTCCAGAGTGTGAGTGTGCGTGAGTGTGAGTGAGTGTGAGTGAGTGAGTGAGTGTGAGTGAGTGTGAGTGAGTGTGAGTGAGTGTGAGTGAGTGAGTGAGTGTGAGTGAGTGAGAGTGAGTGTGAGTGAGTGTGAGTGAGTGTGCGTGAGTGTGCGTGAGTGTGAGTGAGTGAGTGTGCGTGAGTGTGAGTGTGTGTGCGTGTTGGAAGCACCGAGTGTAGTGGTCAGTGCACTGTGCTTTGAACCCGCCGACTTGAGTTTGATTTCAACTCTCGACGAATATCAGTGACAAATATTTGAACTGCTTCTGGGCCTCCCCTAGATCAGTGTTTTAACTTGCTGACTCGTTCCTACTGGACATCTGTGAAAAATAGCCTCATAGCTCATCGGATTCCTCCAGGATATCTAAAGATTCCGGAAAAATAAAGATTCTGAGCTTAAAATGAGTACCTGGTTTGGTGTGTAAACATCAGCACTGGGGAGACAAAGATGTCCAGGGGTAGTGTCAGTCCACCCACCTCGTGTGCTATGGACACCTTCGAAGGTCACTAGCGGAGCCAGAAATCCCTCCTTTCGATCGGATCATTGGGTTTATTAGTAATAAATCGGCATTTTGCGACCCCCACTGCCACTGTGTAGCATATTATTAAGTGCCAGGGACTCTATGAGATGATCGGACAATAGTCCGAGTCCATAATTGGCAATAAGTAACGACAAAGCGGTTATTAGTGACTCAGAATTGTGCGCAGTTGCGTATACAGGACACGACTTCCCTGAAGGCATTCACCTTCAGCGAGCGCGATGCCGATCACACAACGCCATCGCCGCACACGCGTCGAACAAAAAGCAAGGGACAAGTCCTTACTTACTAGCCACTCCTCTATCATGTTTCATTGCTGGAGGGGTTGCCCTCCCTACTTGAAAATCCTGGCTCCGCCATTGTCAAAGGTGCTCCCTAATAGCACTTGCCGCAAGTCTGTTAAGGCTATGAGGGGGATATTTGTCTTTGTGTGTGGAGTTTGCCCCCCTGTTCTGCATGGGTTTCATCTGGGGTTTCCGATTCCGTGCCACAGCTTAAACACACGCCACGCCCTCTAACTGACATTATATATGTCTTTGGGTTCGGTCACGCGGTGGTTTATTGCCGAAATTCGCGTCGTTTACCCTCCACGACGGTTACAGTAATACACACGTGCCAGATTCTGCCTGATAAAGCTCCTCCGCCTCCTGACCGGTGTCTTGAGACTCCCCACGACTCAACTCGACGTGCGGCGACGTTTCGCTCAGATTGCTGTGAGCGAGGTTTGGTGGATCGCGCGCGAGACTCCCTGCCGACTCGTGGGTGGAGGTCGCCCTCTGCTGTCTCGCAAAGGAAGATCAGTCCCATTTGTACGTAGATTGTTACTCTCCCCGCCTCCGGCTCTGCGGCTTCCTCCCACGTGTAGAAACGCTCGTTAATGGAGTTGGTCAAACATCCCGATATAGAACCGCAGAGCTTGGGCAATTACCGGCGCGGGTTCTGGCTGCCCTTGCGCCCTTCTCTGGGTTCCTCCCGCGGCTCCGGGCGGACGCCACCGTCGAGCGCTACAAGCTCTGAGACTCAACATCGCCATCGTCATTATTATTGTTACGAGTGACACCGCTGAGACGTGGATGACTTCACTGGCCTGTGGCCGTGGCTGGGCAGGGGGTCCCGGGGGCCCCGTGTCGCGTTCGCCGATGTGAGTCGCCGTGACTCGCGAGCCGACTCTCCCCTTGCCCAGCGTTGGGCACAGGGACCAAGTCACCTCCCCGTGCCACCGGGGTCTCTCCAGCCTACAGGGGGTGCCGGGGATACGGGGGGTGCAGGGGACACGTCTGGTCAGTGTGGAAGAGGAGAGGATAGGAGACCAAATACCGCCTTGAGCTCCCACGAGTGGAGGCCCTTTTGCCAGCAGTGGCGGTGGTGGACACCTGCAGGACTGCACCGTTACCTTTTGACTGAGAAACGATGACAAGTAAACCACTGAGTGACATCGCCCGCCCTGCGGTTTGCATATCAGCGCGAGCCCAGCAGTTCGCTCGCTGCTCACGAGTTACCGGTAGCGAATCGCAAACCGATTCTTGCGACCGGAGCAGAACGCGACACCCGCGGCGACCGCGTGGCCCCGGGGCTGCCGATGCTTACGCCGAGAGGCCGCCGTGCGGGCCCCCGGGGAAGCAGCGGCGAGGGGGCAGGGGGCGGCGAGGACGCGGAGGGCGACGACGATGACGATGGAGGGGACGGCGCCGAGCGGCGGCGCTGCGGCTCCGGGGACCACGATCGCTCCGACAGGTCGGAGGTCACGGACAGCGCCTCCATCTCGGCCAATGGGATCTGCACGAGGCCCCGGGCACGCGCACACTCGCCACCATCAACCCTCACCGACATCGACCTTACGACCACCATGATCCTCAACACCATCACCAAGTTGACCCTCATCATCTTCACCCTCACCATCACCACGCTCGGCACAATCACCACCACCATAACCTTCATCACCCTCATCATTACTACCCTTACCAACATCACCACCCTCACCATCACCACGCTCACCCTCCCCACGCTCACCATCACCACGCTCACCCTCACCACCCTCACCCTCACCATCACCACCCTCACCATCACCACGCTCACCCTCACCACACTCACCCTCACCACCCTCACCATCACCACCCTCACCATCACCACCCTCACCATCACCACGCTCACCCTCACCACACTCACCCTCACCACGCTCACCCTCACCACGCTCACCCTCACCACCCTCACCATCACCACGCTCGGCACAATCACCACCACCATCACCATCATAACCCTCATCATTACTACCCTTACCAACATCACCACCTACTCACCATCACCACGCTCACCCTCACCACGCTCACCCTCACCACGCTCACGCTCACCACGCTCACCATCACCACGCTCACCCTCACCACGCTCACCCTCACCACACTCACCCTCACCACGCTCATCCTCACCACCCTCACCATCACCACGCTCGGCACAATCACCACCACCATCACCATCATCACCCTCATGTTTACTACCCTTACCAACATCACCACCCTCACCATCACCACGCTCAGCACAATCACCACCACCATCACCCTCATCATTACTACCCTTACCAACATCACCACCCTCACCCTCACCACGCTCACCATCACCACCCTCACCCTCACCACGCTCACCATCACCACGCTCACCCTCACCACCCTCACCCTCACCACGCTCACCATCACCGCGCTCACCCTCACCACCCTCACCATCACCACGCTCGGCACAATCACCACCACCATCACCCTCATCACCCTCATCATTACTACCCTTACCAACATCACCACCCTCACCCTCACCACGCTCACCATCACCACGCTCACCATCACCACGCTCACCACGCTCACCCTCACCACGCTCACCATCACCACCCTCACCATCACCACGCTCACCATCACCACGCTCACCCTCACCACGCTCACCATCACCACGCTCACCACGCTCACCCTCACCACCCTCACCCTCACCACGCTCACCATCACCACGCTCACCATCACCACGCTCACCCTCACCACACTCACCATCACCACGCTCACCCTCACCACCCTCACCATCACCACGCTCACCATCACCACGCTCACCCTCACCACCCTCACCATCACCACGCTCGGCACAATCACCACCACCATCACCCTCATCATTACTACCCTTACCAACATCACCACCCTCACCCTCACCACGCTCACCATCACCACGCTCACCATCACCACGCTCACCACGCTCACCCTCACCACGCTCACCATCACCACCCTCACCATCACCACGCTCACCATCACCACGCTCACCCTCACCACGCTCACCATCACCACGCTCACCACGCTCACCCTCACCACCCTCACCCTCACCACGCTCACCATCACCACGCTCACCATCACCACGCTCACCCTCACCACACTCACCACCACCACGCTCACCCTCATCACCCTCACCATCACCACGCTCACCATCACCACGCTCACCCTCACCACCCTCACCATCACCACCCTCGGCACAATCACCACCACCATCACCCTCATCACCCTCATCATTACTACCCTTACCAACATCACCACCATCACCACGCTCACTCTCACCACGCTCACCATCACCACGCTCACCCTCACCACGCTCGGTACTATCACCACCACCATCACCCTCATCACCCTCATCATTACTACCCTTACCAACATCACCACCCTCACCACCACCACCATCATCATCATCATCGATGTCTCTGTAGTCCCCGTGCCCCTGTGCGTGGAACCTTCGGGGAGCCGGGCGGTCCCTGGGTGGAGCTCAGGCCGTAGGAGCGGCACACGGAGCCCGACAGGTTGTCCATGAGCAGCAACTCGGCATCCACTGCGTCCACCATCACCAGCGACAGGTCCGACGAGAACCGCAGCTACACACAGCCGCACGGTCACCATGACTACCGCACAGCCGCACCGTCACCGTGACTACCGCACAGCCGCACCATCACCGTAACGAACGCACAGTCCACGTCACCGTGACTACCGCACAGCCGCACTGTCACCGTGACTACCGCACAGCCGCATCATCACCGTGACGAACGCACAGTCCACGTCACCATGACTACCGCACAGCCGCACAGTCACCGTGACTACCGCACAGCCGTACCGTCACCACGACTACCGCACAGCCGCACGGTCACCGTGACTACCGCACAGTTGCACCGTCACCATGACTACCGCACAGCCGCACCATCACCGTGACGAACGCACAGTCCACGTCACCATGACTACCGCACAGCCGCACGGTCACCGTGACTACCGCACAGCCACACCGTCACCGTGACTACTGCACAGTCCACGTCGCCGTGATGACCACCTCCTGCACTCACCCGGGTCCCCGGCCGCCACGAGGGGGACCCGCCCAGGGAGACGCGCTCCCCCTCGGCCCCCTGCCCCCACTGGGACCACCCGGTGTCAGCGCTGTGCCGCCGGGGGGACCGGCTTCCCGTTCCCCGCGGCGTCGGGGAGGGGGCCTCCCTGCGCGGGTCCCTTTCGGGCCCGAGGGGGCCCCCCTCGCCCTCCGTGGTGTCTCCATCCACATCGTCATCGTCGTCGTCCTGGATCCACACACAGCGCGGGTGAGAGTGGGGCGCTGCCAGTCGACCCCCGGCACCTGGGCCTGTCCCGTGACCTCCTGCCAGCGAGCCATCCACACCTCGCGGGGCCTCGACGTGCACCTAGCCTGGCACAAGCACCGTGGTGACGTCGCCGGAACTTCGTGGCGAATGAGGGCTGTCGTTGGTGCGGTGGTGTCGGTGGTGTGGGTGGTGTGGTTAACGTGGTGTGGTGGTGCTCGTGGGTTTGTTGATGTTCGTCTGCTGCTCGATGTAATCACTGATGGTGGCGGCTGGCCGCGGCTCTTGTGGGTCGTTGTGGTGGCACTTGTGAGGGTAGCAAGTTCTGGTGATTGTTGCAGGTTTTGTTCGATGTTGCATCTTGTTTTACGCTATTCTTCCGCTGTTTGTTGTGGTGGCTGTGGTTATTGATTGCGGTGGTTGTGGTGGTTTTCCATGGTAATTGTGGTGGTTGTTGTGGTGGTGATGGTGGTGGTTGCGGCGGACCGTGCCTGGTTGCTCTCCTCCAGGTGCTTCATGAGCACGGCCACCACCACGTTCACGAGCACGAACTGCGCCGTGAGCACGAACGTCACGAAGTAGACGGGCGAGATGAGCGGGAGGTGCGCCACGCAGCCCGGGGGCTCCGCGGGGAGCCCGGCCCCGCACTCTCGCAGCGTGTCCTGCGCTCCCCACACACACAGACACACGCTCCACCACCACACTCTACACACACACACAGACACACTCCACACACACACACAGACACGCTCCACCACCACACTCTACACACACACACACAGACACACTCCACACACAGACACGCTCCACCACCACACGCTCCACACACACACAGACACGCTCCACCACACTCCACACACACAGACACACTCCCCACACACACAGACCCACGCTCCACCACCACACGCTCCACACACACACACACAGACACACGCTCCACCACCACACTCCACACACACAGACACACTCCACACACACACACAGACACGCTCCACCACAATACGCTCCACACACACACAGACACGCTCCACCACCATACGCTCCACACACACACAGACACGCTTCACCACACTACACACACACAGACACGCTCCACCACACTACACACACACAGACACGCTCCACCACCACACTCTACACACACACAGACACACTCCACACACACACACACAGACACGCTCCACCACACTACACACACACAGACACGCTCCACCACCACACTCCACACACACACACACAGACACGCTCCACCACCACACGCTCCACACACACACACAGACACGCTCCACCACACTCTCCACACACACACACAGACACGCTCCACCACACTACACGCACACACAGACACGCTCCACCACTACACTCTACACACACACAAAGACACGCTCCACCACCACACTATACACACACACACAGACACACTCCACACACACACACACAGACACGCTTCACCACCACACGCTCCACACACACACAGACACGCTCCACTACACTACACACAGACACACTCCACCACACTCTCCACACACACACAGAGACACACTCCACCACCACCACACTCTCCACACACACACACAGACACGCTCCACCACACTCTCCACACACACACAGAGACACACTCCACCACCACCACACTCTCCACACACACACACAGACACGCGATCCACACTCTGCCCTCACTCTCTCCCGGGACACAGCAACACCGCGACCCCCTCTGCTGCTGCCGCCGCGCTCCCCCCACGACTCTCCGAGTCGGGGCTCCTCTCATCTCCCCGTGTGCGTCTCTGTGTCTCCGCCTCGGCGAGGCTCTCCTGGAAACACAGCGCGCGATGGACACCCCCTATGCGCTACCTTCATGATGCCATTCCAGTTGTCGCCCGTGGACACGCGGAACAGCGTGAGGAAGGCCATGCCGAAGTTTTCGAAGGTCGCGTGACGGGTAAGGCCCTCGCACGGGGTCTCGTCGTCACAGACTGCGTGGGCAACCACAGCAATCCACAGGCGCCCGTAAGCAACGACAGAAATCCTGGGACAACCACAGGCGACTATGACCTCATATCACAAAAGGCAATCACGACAAGTGAGCATGGGATGAGGAGTGAATGAAAAGCGAGAGAGAAGTGAATGAGACGGTGAGGGGGTGAAAGAAAGGCGTGAGTGGCGGAGAGTTGAGTGGGCCGGGAGTGACTCACTCAGGCGGCCAAACAGCTCGACCCCCAGGGCCGCGTAGATGAAGAAGAGCAACAGGAAGAGGAGGCCAAGGTTCCCCACCTGCACCGCGCACACACGAGCACAGCCTCCGATACCGGCTTCGTCACAGGAACGTGGAATTACCTCGCGTGGAAAGGAAGCCCCGCGGCTCCACGCGCGATCCCGGCTCGGGCCACGAGAGGGGTCGCGACATCATGGACCACTCACAGCCGCATCCCCTTCCTCGCCATGTTCCTCCGCGTATAAAATACCATTCACTAATCTTTACACATCCCATCACTCGCGCCTCGAAACAACAAGGGCCTGGACTCGATTCTTGACTCGAACGCCTTTCTGTGAAGAGTTTCTATCCCCCCCCCCCCTCTTCTGCAAGTGTTTCCTCCGGATTCTCTGGTTACCTCCCATAGAAAAAGAACAATGTAACTGGGATTGGCCAAACCACACCCCAATGTTGAACAATTACCTGCAAATTATTCAATCGAGACCTCACTCAACAGCAACATCGCTCACTCCTTCGAAAACATGGCAGGACCCTCCTGAAAGGGTAACTTGAGACTCGGTGACGCTTTCTTGGGTTAACAAGCAGAATGATGATGATGATGATCTCTGAGTGTAGAGCGATGGCCGGAGCCGGAGCTCGCCTCGCACCTGTGGCAGCGCCTGCACCACGGTGTCGATGAGGGAGCGCATCCCTGTGGCTGTCTTCAAGAGCTTGAGCACTGGGGACACGGGCACATCGGGGCACGGGGGCACGGGGTCATAGAGACACGGGGTCACGGGGACACAGGAACACAGGGTCACGGGGACATCGAGGCACGGGGGCACGGGGACATCGAGGCACGGGGTCACGGGGACACGGAGACAGGGACACAGGGCCACGGGGACATAGAGGCAGGGGTCATAGAGGCACGGGGTCACGGGAATACGGGGACACAGGGACACGGGGACATGGGGACATCGAGGCACGGGGGTACGGGGACACGGGGACATGGGGACATAGAGGCAGGGGTCATAGAGGCACGGGGTCACGGGGACATGGGGTCACAGGGACATGGGGTCACGGGGACATAGAGGCAGGGGTCATAGAGGCACGGGGTCACGGGAACACGGGGACACAGGGACACGGGGACATGGGGACATCGAGGTACGGGGACACGGGGACATGGGGACATAGAGGCAGGGGTCATAGAGGCACGGGGTCACGGGGACATGGGGTCACAGGAACATGGGGTCACGGGGACATGGGGACATCGAGGCACGTGGTGACAGGGACACAGAGGCACGGGGTCACGGGGGTACGGGGGTATGGGGACATGGGGACATCGAGGCACGTGGTGACAGGGACACGGAGGCACGGGGTCACGGGGGCGCGGCGACTCGCAGGGCTGAGGCCACTTTGCAGGCACGGAGGCGTGCCGTGCGACTGGCTCAGGGTAGCCTCGGCCCAGCAGCCACCCCACACCCTGGTTACCATAGTACCAGTTACCCTGGTTACCCCACGCCCTTGTTACCATAGTACCAGTTACCCTGGTTACCACACGCCCTTGTTACCATAGTACCAGTTACCCTGTTTACCCCACACCCTCGTTACTTTGGTACCAGTTACCCTGGTTACCCCACACACCAGTTACCCTGGACACTGGTTATCCCGGTTACTATGGTGACCCAGACGCGCATCACCCCGGGTGGGGGGGGGGGGTGGGTACCGCGGGCGATGCGCAGTACGCGCATGATGCGCATGATGGTCGGGTTGATGGGCAGCGATGCATTCATCTCGATCTCCTCCAGCGTGATGCCCATGATGGACAGCAGCACGATGCCGAGATCCAGCTGGTTCCACCTACACGCACGCGGCCACAAGACAAAGATCACTCGCGTAGCCTTCACAGACGGTAGGAGCAAGTGCTGTTCACGAGCTCCTATTAAGGCCGACACGGTACACGAGGGGGTGAGTGGCCAGAAACCCCGCCCGACCGCCTTTGTCTCCCTCGTGGCGATGTTTAGACACCGCACCAGGTACTCATTTTATGCTGAATCAACCTAGGGGAGGCTCAAGAGCGGTTCAGATAATCGTCACTGGTGTTGACCGTGAGCCTCAATTCGAAACCGGGTCGCCGGGTTCGTAGCGCAGCACGCTAACCGCTGTTCTGTCGCTCCCCACGCACGGCCACACCGACACATATATCACATACATATACACTCACCACACACTACATACATGCCCTTAATACACAATTCGCAACATGCGGTCAAAGAACGCGTTGTTTATTTTACGACTATAATTATTATCACCACGCTTGATTACTCACGAAAGCGTCACCGAGTCCCAAGACTATTTTCAGGAGGGTCCTATCAAGTTTTCACGGTAGAGGGCGATGCTACTAATGTGTGTGTGTGTGAGATCCCAACGGAGTAATTTGCAGATAATCTTGTTGTGATTGGGATACTTTGGCCAATACCAGTGGCATTTTGTGTGTGTGTGTTTAGCTGTGGCGGAAAACTGGGGAACAATGACGAAATTCATGCAGAGCAGATGGAGAACATACAAAACTCCAAACAGAAAAGCACCCGAGTCAGGAATCAAACCCAGGCTCTTTTTGTGAGGCAGCACGAGTGTTACCACTGCACCATCCTACCACTCAAATCTGAAATATATTCCTCTAAATATTGAAAAATGGCGTTGTGATTCGATGGAAAATATGAGGTCCGTGGTAAATGACCGGAGGCATGGTGAGGGAGGGAGGCGAGTGGGCCCTGCACCTGTCCTTGAAGTATCTTCGTATGCCAAACGCCACGAGCTTGAAGGCCGCCTCCAGCACGAACACCGTCGTGAAGAAATAGTTGCAGTACTTGAGCGCCTCCTCCAGCGACTGCGAGACACGAGCGAGTGTCACCACCCCCACTCTCCCCATGGCCCTGACCCCATAGGCTAACATGTGAACACGGAATGGCCATGGGTTAACAATGGGAAACAGAATTAGTCTGTCTAACACGTAGGCTTAACACGTATACTTAGTCTGGGCATTCTTTCTCCTGCCATTCGTTTTAGTCTATCCCCCCCTGAGCGTCACTGCCGCCCTCCCCCCGCCCCCCGCCCCCCCCCCCACCACGACTGTGGGCCACACCCTGGGCTGGTCGTAGTGCTCCATGGCCATGGTGACGACGTTGAGGCCGATGACCACGGTGATGAAGAGGTCCAGGTAGCTGGACGTGCACGCGCCGTGAACGAGCATGCGAGTGCGCGAGTAGTCAGCGTAGTACGGCTTCTGCTGCGCTTCTGCACGCGCGCACACGCAGGGAACACGCGCACACAGACAAAAGTCTCCGTGTAGCCTTTAACAGACTGTTGGGAAAGTGCTGTTCGCGAGTAGCATCTATTAAGGCCGGCACGGCACACGAAGGGGTTGTGTAGCCAGTACCATGCCTGTTTACACACCGTACCAGGTACTAATTTAAGGTTGATTCGACCTAGGGGAGGCCCAGGACCGGTTCAGATATTTACCACCAATGTTGGCCATGAGCGGGAATCGTAACTCGGGTAACTGGGTTCACGCATTGCGCTAACCACTGTGCTACTGCTCCCCACACTCGCCACAATGTACACACAGCGATACACAGACATCCAGGCGCACACGAATGCACACGGCCACACACACGTGTACACGCTGATGTACGCCGCACACCCAGGTGGACAGACGAGAGCTGTCAAAGTCGGGTTCGCACCCCCCGGCCGCTCCCCCCGACCCAACGCTCCCCCACTTCCATCTCCCCACGGACGCCGCGCTGCGTTCACGCGTCGATCAGGTAACGCATGGAGGGGGACACTCAGGGGGGGTGCCATGGGAATGCCAACGTACGATGACAAATAAAAAATAAATGAGATGCGATGATGACATTTCATAGAAACTGATCGCCTAGCAAATTATATTTACCCTGGCGTAATTGGCCCGAGCCCCGCAGGTTTCATTGAGATTCGAGACACGTCCCACGGCGAAGGTCCCGTCGACCCCACGTTTAAATTATTCACACGGTAAGGGGGCGGGGGGGGGGGGCTGCATGGGAGCGGACCTGACTTTACTCGCCCACAGTCACTGCCACTCTTTCCCTACTCACCCTACTCACTACCCAGAGAGAACGGACCACCGCTAATCAAAGGAATATGTCCACACATGGCTACGCATGCCACGTAACACGTGCCTCTAAGAAACTACTTTGCTCACACTCTCAAACGACAACACACTACTCACTCACCACGCCCACACACCACACAGCAGGTCACAACAACACTCACCACATTGCAAGTCAAATAACACGCACTCATCACCACACTCCAGGTCACTGCTCCCTCCCACTGTCTCTGTTCCCAAATATTACATATTCGATATTACAACCTGAATGGTACTGTATGTCGATGGCAGTTGACGCTATCGACCTTTAGGCCTGTGCTCATAAAGTGTGTTTAAAGAAACTGAAAGACATGACCAAAGAGCCGAAAGTATTATAATGCGCAATAAATACAACACATAGCACCTGTTCAACATAATTCTATTGCGAGTCTATAGGTCTCTTGATTTTCTCACCTAGTTGAACTCAACTTGAAAATCATAGTTAGTGTGAACAATACATTGTAATTGCTGCTTACGGATTGCATTAACTTTAATAAGATCAGCACCATGGACAGCGCCTCAACCTCTAAGAGGGATTAGCACCATGGACAGCGCCTCAACCTCTAAGAGGGATCAGCACCATGGACAGCGCCTCAACCTCTAAGAGGGATCAGCACCATGGACAGCGCCTCAACCTCTAAGAGAGATCAGCATCATGGACAGCGCCTCAACCTCTAAGAGAGATCAGCACCATGGACAGCGCCTCAACCTCTAAGAGGGATCAGCGCCATGGACAGCGCCTCTACCTCTAAGAGGGATCAGCGCCATGGACAGCGCCTCTACCTCTAAGAGGGATCAGCGCCATGGACAGCGCCTCTACCTCTAAGAGGGATCAGCACCATGGACAGCGCCTCTACCTCTAAGAGGGATAAGCACCATGGACAGCGCCTCAACCTCTAAGAGGGATCAGCACCATGGACAGCGCCTCTACCTCTAAGAGAGATCAGCACCATGGACAGCGCCTCTACCTCTAAGAGAGATCAGCGCCATGGACAGCGCCTCTACCTCTAAGAGGGATCAGCACCATGGACAGCGCCTCTACCTCTAAGAGGGATCAGCACCATGGACAGCGCCTCTACCTCTAAGAGAGATCAGCACCATGGACAGCGCCTCAACCTCTAAGAGGGATCAGCACCATGGACAGCGCCTCTACCTCTAAGAGGGATCAGCACCATGGACAGCGCCTCTACCTCTAAGAGAGATCAGCGCCATGGACAGCGCCTCTACCTCTAAGAGGGATCAGCACCATGGACAGCGCCTCTACCTCTAAGAGGGATCAGCACCATGGACAGCGCCTCTACCTCTAAGAGGGATCAGCACCATGGACAGCGCCTCTACCTCTAAGAGGGATCAGCACCATGGACAGCGCCTCAACCTCTAAGAGAGATCAGCACCATGGACAGCGCCTCTACCTTTAAGAGAGATCAGCGCCATGGACAGCGCCTCAACCTCTAAGAGGGATCAGCACCATGGACAGCGCCTCTACCTCTAAGAGGGATCAGCACCATGGACAGCGCCTCTACCTCTAAGAGGGATCAGCACCATGGACAGCGCCTCAACCTCTAAGAGAGATCAGCACCATGGACAGCGCCTCTACCTCTAAGAGGGATCAGCACCATGGACAGCGCCTCAACCTCTAAGAGAGATCAGCACCATGGACAGCGCCTCTACCTCTAAGAGAGATCAGCACCATGGACAGCGCCTCTACCTCTAAGAGAGATCAGCGCCATGGACAGCGCCTCAACCTCTAAGAGGGATCAGCACCATGGACAGCGCCTCTACCTCTAAGAGGGATCAGCACCATGGACAGCGCCTCAACCTCTAAGAGAGATCAGCACCATGGAGAGCGCCTCTACCTCTAAGAGGGATCAGCACCATGGACAGCGCCTCAACCTCTAAGAGAGATCAGCACCATGGACAGCGCCTCTACCTCTAAGAGAGATCAGCACCATGGACAGCGCCTCTACCTCTAAGAGGGATCAGCACCATGGACAGCGCCTCTACCTCTAAGAGGGATCAGCACCATGGACAGCGCCTCTACCTCTAAGAGGGATCAGCACCATGGACAGCGCCTCAACCTCTAAGAGAGATCAGCACCATGGACAGCGCCTCTACCTCTAAGAGGGATCAGCACCATGGACAGCGCCTCAACCTCTAAGAGAGATCAGCACCATGGACAGCGCCTCTACCTCTAAGAGAGATCAGCACCATGGACAGCGCCTCAACCTCTAAGAGGGATCAGCACCATGGACAGCGCCTCTACCTCTAAGAGGGATCAGCACCATGGACAGCGCCTCAACCTCTAAGAGAGATCAGCACCATGGACAGCGCCTCTACCTCTAAGAGAGATCAGCACCATGGACAGCGCCTCTACCTCTAAGAGGGATCAGCACCATGGACAGCGCCTCTACCTCTAAGAGAGATCAGCGCCATGGACAGCGCCTCTACCTCTAAGAGAGATCAGCGCCATGGACAGCGCCTCTACCTCTAAGAGGGATCAGCACCATGGACAGCGCCTCTACCTCTAAGAGGGATCAGCACCATGGACAGCGCCTCTACCTCTAAGAGGGATCAGAACCATGGACAGCGCCTCTACCTCTAAGAGAGATCAGCGCCATGGACAGCGCCTCTACCTCTAAGAGGGATCAGCACCATGGACAGCGCCTCTACCTCTAAGAGAGATCAGCGCCATGGACAGCGCCTCTACCTCTAAGAGAGATCAGCACCATGGACAGCGCCTCTACCTCTAAGAGAGATCAGCGCCATGGACAGCGCCTCTACCTCTAAGAGAGATCAGCACCATGGACAGCGCCTCTACCTCTAAGAGAGATCAGCGCCATGGACAGCGCCTCTACCTCTAAGAGGGATCAGCGCCATGGACAGCGCCTCTACCTCTAAGAGAGATCAGCGCCATGGACAGCGCCTCTACCTCTAAGAGAGATCAGCGCCATGGACAGCGCCTCTACCTCTAAGAGGGATCGGCGCCATGGACAGCGCCTCTACCTCTAAGAGGGATCAGCGCCATGGACAGCGCCTCTACCTCTAAGAGAGATCAGCACCATGGACAGCGCCTCTACCTCTAAGAGGGATCAGCGCCATGGACAGCGCCTCTACCTCTAAGAGGGATCAGCGCCATGGACAGCGCCTCTACCTCTAAGAGAGATCAGCGCCATGGCCAGGTCGCTTCTGAAAAATAAGTTAATATCTCAGTGGGATTTGCCTGGTAGGATGGGGATGGTTTAGTTGTGTTTGTGTGTGTTTGGGTGATGTATTTGTGTTTGTGTGATTTGTGTTTACCTTCTTGTAATTTTCATTACTATCATATCGTTGTACTGTTTGTTGTTGTAACGTTCTTACCCGCCCCGACTATATATCTGTGAAAAACAGCTTTGTAGCTCATCGGATTCCTCCAGTATAAATAAATATTCTGATTCTGAACCTCTGAGAGAGATCAGCACCATGGGCAGCGCCTCTACCTCACGCACAACTCGGCAGAGCTTCGGGTGCAACTGTCAGGGACCGTGAGCTGCTATTACATCGAACACAATGCTAAGCACTCGGATGCTGTCACACGCAACACGAATTACCACTGCATTATGACAGGGCGTAAAAGAAACACTCAAGGGACCATCCAAGCGTTGGTAAAGGCGATGGCTTTCAGGATAACAATAACTGACGTCATTCTTCATGACACCCGACATGGCCCGATCGTTACGCGCCCTAACGCAAAAATCAATTATGAATCATCACAATGGCTGCGAGAACCCGCGAGTTGACTTCACATTGACCCCGCCATGGCCTCCTGGTCCTGCTATGACCGCGTGACAGGGCCCACGTGCTCCACCCTGATTCCACGAAGCTCCGCCTGAGCGCATTCCACTCCGCGTCCCGCAGGCGCTGGCCTCAGGCCTCGTCATCCCAGGGGCAGAAGGAAGCGAAAGTCGCTCGATTCCTCTCACGGCCCCCCCCAGCCCCCCATCATCGCCTCGGGCCACTATCTGCAGGTGACAACACTTCTCTCCATGCCCCCCCCCCAGCCCCCCACCATCGCCTCGGGCCACTATCTGCAGGTGACAACACTTCTCTCCATGCCCCCCCCCCCAGCCCCCCACCATCGCCTCGGGCCACTATCTGCAGGTGACAACACTTCTCTCCATGCCCCCCCCCAGCCCCCCACCATCGCCTCGGGCCACTATCTGCAGGTGACAACACTTCTCTCCATGCCCCCCCCCCCCACCGCTGCACTTTTGAACTCCTTCCTTCCATCGTCTCTTTCCCTGCCCCTCCCCACGCTCTTACGATGATGATAATAATGATAACCTCGCACACTCTGGGACGTATTAGAATGTTGATAGCAGTGCTGTTTGTTGCTGGCTGATTGGAAGTTTTGGGCCTTTGTTCAGTGTCGCACAACGGACGGAAGAGATTGGCATACGTGATAGCTCCGTGACTAGGCTCGAACCTATGCACACCAGCAGAACTATCGCCGTGAGGCCGGGAGAGGGGGCGTAAGGGTTGGGGTACAGGGAGGTGGGGAGGGGGGTGGCCTTCCCTTGCCGGGGGGAGGGGGCCGCGGGATCGCTGTGGGGTGGAGTGGCGCCCGTGGTGGTATGCATGATACCTTTATGGTTTTTGTGAGCGCCCTGCTTAGCGCGTCTCCCCCCCGCGTCCTTTCCGTCTGGAGGCAGACACGGAGAGCAGCCAGGGGTTAGGCGCCGCGCACACCGCCGCTCTCGGCGTCTCCCCGCCGTGCGTGCGGTACAAGCATGCTGCTCCCCCAACACGCTGCTGCCTCCCATTGTCGCGCCCCCAATGAACCCATCCACCGCCAATTAACCTGTGCGCTCGCAGCGGCGCGGAGAGACGAATGGCCGAGGGGGGAGGGGGCATGGAGGTGGGGTCGCAGCGGGAACCGAAATCGATCGGTTCTGCACTCGCGAAGCCAGAGCTCGAACCAGGAGGACACTTGGTCGGGTTCAGATTGGCGCGCGGTTCCGGATTGGTCACGCAGGCCCCCGGGCGGCCAGGCCGGCGACCCCAAGCCGTGACCGCGGCGACCCCCGGGAGCGACCGAGCGAGGGTAGAGGTCGCAGAGAGAATCCACGGCTATCGCCGCCCGTGGCCCGGCGACGCGGCGGCATCGGGGGGACGCGAAGCGCGGGGTGCAACGTCGGGGATTCTACCCCCCACCCCACCCCTCACACGCGGCTACCACCGCCCCCGCCCCCACGCGCGTGCAGAGCAGAGCGGAGCGTGCGTCGTGAATGGCAGCGTGGGGATGCGTGGGGCGATGTGGATGGGTCTCAGCAGCGAGCGGTGCCATGCGGGTGGAGCGACCATGCGCCGCGCGAGGACGGTGGACGGGGCACGCGGACACCCGCGGCGCCGCCGCGCATTCATCCCGGACCGCGACGGAGCCCGAGTCGAGCCGAGCGCCTCCTCGCTCGCCCGCCCTCATGCCCCTCTCGCGTGAACCAGGCCCCGCACCCTGCACGCAGTCCGTGCCTCGGGTCTCCCAGTCTCTCTCCCGACCCTGTCGCAGCTCCCCGATGCCTCCGCCCCGCCTCTCCCCCCACCTCCCCCCCTTCCCTATCTCGAGTCCCCATGCATCCTCCCCCCCACCCCTCTTACTGCGCCTCCGTTTCTCTGCCCGGCGGAGTCGCTTCTCCTCGCGGAGCCGCGTCTCCTCGGCCTCCTGGTGCTGCCGGCACTTGTGGAAGTTCTCCACCACGACGCCCACGAACATGTTGAGCACGAAGAAGCTGACGAGCAGCAGGAAGGAGATGAAGTAGAGCAGCATCCACGGGTTGTGGTTCCGCACGGGCTGCACGCGGACACAACACCCAGCAGGGCAACTCGCTACCAGCAACAGCAACCACCATTTAACAACAACAACAAGTGAGGATAGCGACGCCAGGCCCGGTGCACTGTCTCCTGTTAAAGCACCACGAGATGTACTGCTCATGTCGGGGATTATTCGCAAGTGAGGGGCGACGCTCGCAATGCGTTTCCCAAGCGAGTAATTTGCGGTCTAATTTCTCTAATTTGGAGCATCACACCGGGACACAATATGACATACTCCTCTTCTGATGATGTCCGGGGATCTTTAACGTCCACTGTGAGTGAAGCAGATGGTGCAGGGTTAATGCCACGCATCCCAGTGTGATGATGCATACAGTGCGTGATGCTGTGTGTGACGATGCTGTGTGTGAGTGATGTCACTGTGCTTGATGCTGTAACTGGTTTCTATGAGCGATGATAATGACACCTGCAGTATTTACCAGGGCGGCCCACCGAATTCAAACTGCAGACCTCCGCAGTTTGAAGCAAATCCGCAGTAGCATGAGGGAGGCGGTGTATCGGCATCTCCTCCCTCCTTCCTCCCGTCACCCCCAGCCCTCTCTCCGCGTTCAAACAACAAACACCACTGAGCCCCCAGCCCCGAGCCACGGGTTCGTTCCGGGTTCCTCACCTGCAAATTCTCACCCACGGCGTCCAGGCCGTCGTACATGATGTTCACCCAGCCGTCCTTCGAGGCCAGCACGAACAGGGACATGAGCGCCTGCGGGACACGGGACATCAGACACAGCCACGGGTATGCATCCCACGGGTCACGGGTCACAGGAGAGGGGGGGGGGTCGCCACCTCTTCCATGCACAGCGAGCCCGGACACGGGTCTAGACATTCGGCCGAAGCCTCTTGGCACCACTGCGCAGTCACCAGCACCAGATCTCGGTACACATCAATCCTTGCCGTTCGAATACAGCAGACGCCGATTCTTGGTCAAACACGGCGGTAACCTTAGTGGCTGGGTGAGTGGGTGGGCAAGTGGGTGAGTTACTAAGTGATTTTTGGACGACGAATAAATGAGTGTTTTCGGTAAAGTCACGTAGGTGAAAATAAAAATAATAATAATAATACAAAAAATAGAATAAAAATGGAAATAACTAAATTAAATCACGACGTTTCGGGCGCAACACAAGTGTCCGCCATCAGGTGGGGACAACCACAGCGAAGGCATGGCTGTAGCCATCCCTTCGGCACACTCCAGCGATTGCGTTGTCGCTGTGGTTGTCCCCACCTGATGGCGGACACTTGTGTTGCGCCCGAAACGTCGTGATTTAATTTAGTTATTTCCATTTTTATTCTATTTTTTGTATTATTATTATTATTATTATTTTTATTTTCACCTACGTGACTTTACCGAAAGAACCAAAGAGTATGGATCCTTGCAGTCACGAAAACTTCAAATCTAGAATAAATGAGTGAGTGGGTAAGTAGCAACCTTAGGTTTGGGGGGGGGAGGTCAGGGGAAGGCTCGAGAGTAGGGAGGAGGACAGCATGGGGAGGGATGAGGGAGGGAGGTAGGAGATAGAGAGAACTAGGGGGAGGGATCAGGGGGAGGATGGAGGGCGGCCTCACCTGCCCCAGGTTGTCAAAGTTGTACTTGCGGCGCACCCAACGGTAGTGCGCACGCGCGCAGTCAGCACGGCTCGTGATGTTCCGGGTGTCCGTCCCCTCGCAGAAGTAGAACTTCCCCTTGAAGAGCTGCGGGGGGCACGGGGGCACGGGGGTGACGATCGATGTTCGCCGCACCGCACTCCGCGTGAACGGTGCCACAACGCTCCACCCGCTCGCTTGCCACGAACGCCGCGGCCCCACGAGGAAGGACCGGTAGTGTCCCTTCCTCAGAGCACAAGCCACGTGCTATGAAGAAGGGCTAAAGTCTTCCAACGCGTCCCCTCAACATGGACGTGTGGAGGAAGAGAAAGCCAGATTCCCTCTAGAGCTTGCTCTTCAGCCAGCAGAGGAAGGTGGTGGTGGCGATGGCGGGTGAGGAGTTGGGGGTGAGGTGGAGGTGGGGGCTTTCGGCACCTGTACCCCCAGGATGCCGAAGATGATGAAAAAGGCGCAGCAGATGAGGACGATGTTCCCAATCGGCTTCAATGACGTGATCAGCGTCTCCACCACGAGCTTCAGGCCCGGCGCGCGGCTGATCACTCTGGAGGAGGTGTGGGGGGGGGAGGCATCGATTATCAAGGTTGGCTATGTACAATGCGAAACAAGTTCAACATACATACATACCGGACCAGAGGGGCTGCAGCGTGATGCCACCAGCATTGGGTTCAGTCAGTCTGACTTTGCTGATGAGGCACCAATGTTGAAGCCGGTCCAGAGCCTTGATGGCATTAAACCAGCCGAGTGGCTGAAGGGATGCGTGGTATAGCTGTTGCATGTGGAGGGACAGGTGTGCGAAGGAGGCGCAATGCCTGCTCAGGTATTGTGCGACTGACCGCGTGGGTCACCGACCCCCTCCCCGACCGCGCCCCCCTCACCGCAGGGGCCGCAGGGTGCGCAGGAGCCGGAGCACGCGCAGGATACCCAGGATGCGCGCGCCTCCCGACGAGGCGAGGGACACGACAATGTCCACGGCGGAGACGAGGACCAGGAGCCCGTCCAGCAGGTTCCACGAGCTGCGCAGGTACGCGCCATCCCCCAGCGCCAGGCCCAGCGCCGTCACCTGCACACCGGAGCAGGCGGGGCCAGGGAGGGGGAGGGGGGAGGGGGGGAGTAGCGGGCCAGAGGCTCCGGTCACCCCGGCCGTGACCCCCGCCGCAAGGCATCACCGAGCGAACGACCAGGGTCTCGATACGATGGACGATTTTGTTTTGACGCAGGTATTGAACACAAGCCCAAATCCCCAAAACGTCTAGCGGTCAGCAACAAACAGCACTTTCCAAGTTGTAACAGGTTTACTTATGTGAATGCTAGAGCGCAAATTTGTGTGAGTGTGTGCGTGCTTGAAGAGAGGCTTCATTTCAGCCACGTCCCCGAGGAGCGATGCCGCAGCACCTTAATAGCCATCTCGGTGACGAAGGCGGCGGTGAAGATGTAGTTGGAGACAGTGAGGAAGACGCGCTCCTGCGCACCACGGCAGTGGGGGGGGGGGGGGTACGGTGATTGTGAGCGCACACCGGGGGGCTCGGAGCGTGGGTTGGGGGGTAACGGGAAGGGAGCGGGAGATGCTCACGGCGCTGTAGCTGGGGATGTCGGGCCGCTCCAGCGCGATGGTGATGCAGTTGAGGAAGATGAAGAGCAGCACCACGTGGTCAAACACCTTGTGCGCGATGATCTTGCGGCACACCCAGCGGAACCTGCACTCCGCGGGGGGTGGGGGGGGGGCAGCGCAGGGGGGTGGATGTGTGTGAATGTGTCTGTGTGTTCCCAACCTCAGGCTGTGTGTGAGACTGTCGGTGTGTGGGTCTGTGTTGGGTACCCGGGGGATCTTCGTCTGCGTGTCTGTGCGAGTGCAGTGCAGCGCCCTACCGGTTGTGCGGGTGGAACACGTAGAGCGACCAATCCGCGCGCACCACGCAGCAGCGCGGCCGGTGGCGCTGGAGGCGGCGGCCCAGCCGGAACCACCAGCGCTGAGGACACGCACAGACACACGCACATCATGCACACCATCAGCATACACACCATCAGCATACACACCATTATCGCTTTCATAATCCTGAGGGGACACCTTAGTCAGCATCTAGGACAGGAGGTTATAGAAGGCACCTGACTCATCAACCTTGTCTGCGTTCTTCTCCGTATATATTCATCTTCGGTGGAGGTGGAAACCACATCACCATTCCTCCCCTCCCGTTCATGGGGCAAGTTAACAGTAGCATGGAACTCACAGATTCCCACACCTCGCCTCCACATTTTGTTCAAAAGAGCCACTCCCTGTTGTTCCCTGCCTCGAGTGGAGGACTGTCCACCCTTCGTAGTGACCGGAACCGGAAACGGCCCACCAGACCTTCAGTAAACCACGGAGGCCTATGTGGTACCAGTCGAGATCCCGACAGAAGACTGGCAGCCTCTCATCCAAGGTGAGTGTTCAAACACCCGATGTGGCCATGCGCAGTGGTTTTCTGTTTCTGGAGGGACCCTGAGCTCTGCCAAATGGGATTTGGCCAGGAGATGTCATAGACGCCTGTCACCCCGGGGCCTCTGGCACAAGCGTTGTTTTCACCATCCTAGGTGTAAGAGCTAATTAGCATCATCTTTCCCTCCAATGATATTGCACACGACACATCATCGAGGTTAGCGAATGGAAACCGCCAAGGAGGTAGGGGTCATTTGCCAGGTGTCACAAACAGCACAACACACACGACACGCAGAGTTCACACTGATGTGGTAGACGTGGCAGAGAATGTAGTTTCACTCGGGGGAATACGAGATTGATTATGATGATGATGATGATTGTGCTGCAGATTCCGATTCCGATGAGGCTCACATCGTCAATATCATCCAGGGGGTCTGGCGGCGCATGTTGGCCGAGCCATGGGGGGGTGTCTTCCCATTGCAGTCGGGCAGAGACAGGTGCAGCGCCACGGGCATGAGCAGGGGCAGCGGCAGTGCGGGCCGGTGCAGGGCCACGCGCACCGCCGCGACGTCGTGGGGCGCCACGGGGGGCGCCGCTCCGGGCGCCGCTCCGGGCGCCGCGGGGGGCGAGGCGAGGGGCAGCAACAGCGTGGGCGGGGGGCGGGGGAGGGGGCCGTGCCCCCTCCCTCGCCCCCTCCCGCGCCTCCTCCCTCGCCTCCTCCCTCGCCCCCTCCCTCGCCCCCGCGCCCTCGTCCCCGCCGCTCGCCGCCCCCGGCGCGTCGATGAACTCGTGGTCGTCGCCGTCGTCCGGCGAGAGCAGCGAGCGGCGCTCCCCCTGGCGGCGGGGGGACCCGGCCCCCCCTCGCGACCCACTCGACCTGCGGGCTGCTCGGGGCCCCGGGCCTGCGACAAGGACAGCCGCCCCCACGAGAACCCCGGGGCCCCCCGAGATTCCTTCGCCGACAATGCACGCGGAAGCGTCGAGGACGACCTGCTCACCGCCGTGAAGGAGAGAGGCAGGGGGGAGAGGTAGGGAGAGGCAGGGAGAGCTCGGGAGAGCGCGGAGAGTTAGAGAGTGCCAGAGAGGGGCAAGGAGAGCCAGGGAGAGAGACATGGAGCTAGCAATTCTAGGGTTGCACATTCACATTTTAACAGATCTTTATTTGGTTGTTTTTGCTCAAGATTAATTTGCTTCAGTGCTGTGCTGTTTTCTTTGTTTCCCTTTTGTCATTTTGGTGACCCAGGTAACGCTTGCAAATGAGCATCATCCTGGTCTCTAGAATTCTTACCTCTTGCCATAAAATAGACTTGAACCTTAACTTAAGACACAAGGGGAAATTAAACCACGCGGTGATTTAGGCCTGCCGCCGTGCGATTTGTACGTCAGCGTGAGCCAATTGGTGCATTCGTTACTCATAGGGCGCTGTCAAATACCTCGTGGTGTTAAATACCTCGTGTTGTTAAATACCTCGTGGTGTCAAATACCTCGTTTGGTATGCAGGCGGTCGTGGTTTCGATCCCGACCCCGACCCCGGCTGTATATTTAGAGTTTGTATGTCTCTCCCCATGGTCGTGTGGATTTTTCTCCCGGTCCTTTTTTTCCCATTCACATTTAGAATCATGCGCTTAGAGTATTTGGCTACTATATATTCACACGTGATAAGCCACTTCGTTGGGCTACCATTTGTGGCCAGGCCGCTTCTGAAAAAGAGCTGTACAGCTCAGTGGGCCTTGCCTGGTAAAATAAAAATAGTAAAATGTTCCGCTGGAATATGTTTTATGTTTAACTTCTTTCAACACAGTACGGAGCCAACCATGCTAATCAGTGGCACGGGCAATATGTTCCTAGTTCCCGGCTTCCGGATTCGGTAAACGATTTTCAATAATACCGGTAAGCGGTTTTCGTGTGGGAACTTTGCAGTGGTACCCACGTGGTGCCACGGCTCCCCAACGGGAGAAGAGGCGGCGTCCGTGGGGGCCGGCCCCCCCACCCCTTTGGGGTCCGCGTGACCATTTGAGGCCAACACTGCAGGAAGATACATCATCGTCAACATCATCATCACTAAATAATAATTCAAAACATCATCATCGTTAATTGTCTGTGGAGGTGATGTGAGTCGTGCGCTGTTCCACGACCCTGCCCCTCTGCTGCCCCCTAATTTGGGAATCGAGTGGAAGGTGGGGAGGGCGCGGGTAGGGAGGGGGCAGAGGGCGGTGTGGGGGGGAGCACCTGGGAGCCCTTTAGCTGAGTCCCCCTCCTCGTCCAACGCCGAGCCGCCCACGTCGTCGTCCGAGTCGGAGCGACTCGCGTCTCCCTGGGGGGGGGGGGGGGGAGACCCCACGTGAGGCGTTGGGACGATGTAAACAACCACAAAGCTCCCCTGTGTAGCCCACTCAGGCTGTATGGGCAAGTGCTGTTAGCGAGTTCCTATGAAGGCCGGTATGACTCACGAGGGGATTGATGACCAGCACCACGCCCCACCGCCTTTGTCTCACCAGTTTACGTACCACACCAGGTACTTATTTTAGGCTGAGTCGACATAGAGAAGGCCCAAGAGCGGTTCATATTTTCGCGACTGTTATCGGTGGTGAGCGGGAATCTAACTCGGGTCTTCAAGTTTGTAACGCAGTGCACTCACCACTGCTCCATTGCTCCCGACGCACACAGACACACAAACAGACAGACGGGCAGACCTATGGCGAGACGGACCAGTGGATAGACTTCCACTCACACTCACAGGCAGACTCACACCGAGACAGAGAGACGTGTAGACAGACGCGCGCACAGTGAGGCCGACCTCGGCCTGAAAGCCCTCCACCAGGATGGCCACGAGGAGGTTGAAGAGGACGTAGTTTCCGAATGTCATGAGCGCGATGAAGTAGAGCGCGGCCCAGGGTGAGGAGGAGGCCATGCCGTGGTAGAGCACCACGTTCCAGTCCTCCTGCGTCAGGATCTGCACCGCCGCCCGCACGCGGGTGAGGAACGACACGCGCAGTTCCACACGGGAGCCATCAGAGCCACAAGGGAGCACGCAGAGCCACGGCAAAGGCCGATCGTCTCCTCCACATGGCAGGTCACAACAATACACTCACCCACCCACAGGACCACCCATTCACTCACCCACCCACTCACACATTCACCCATTTACACACCCACCCATTCACACACCCACCCACTCACACACCCACCCATTCACACACCCACCCATTCACACACCCACCCACTCACACACCCACCCATTCACACACCCACCCACTCACCCACTCACCCGCCCACTCACACACCCACCCGCTCACCCACTCACCCATTCACACACCCACCCACTCACTCACCCACCCACTCACACACCCACCCAATCACTCACCCACCCACACACCCACCCACTCACCCGCCCACTCACACACCCACCCGCTCACCCACTCACCCGCCCACTCACTCACCCACCCACTCACCCACCCACCCATTCACACACTCACCCACTCACCCACTCACCCATTCACTCACCCACCCACTCACACACCCACCCATTCACACACCCACCCACTCACCCACTCACCCGCCCACTCACACACCCACCCGCTCACCCACTCACCCGCCCACTCACTCACCCACCCACTCACCCACCCACCCGCACGCACCTGGAAGACGGTCACGATGGCCCAAAGGAGCGAGTCGAAGTTTTTGCGGTCGGGGACCGTGTCCCCACTCTCCGTCTTCACGCTGAACTTGCAGCCGAAGAGATGCATCCCGAGGATGCTACGACGCCACGCACACAACGCACATAGTTGTACTATACTATGCTCCAACGTGTCTCCCCGCCTGCCTTCAACAGCCAGCACGGACCCGCGCGGTGAAGTATGGTCAAATTACGCCGATCACCCGCACTGCGTTAGCAGGTGATCATCCATCAGTGGGTCGGTTGATGGGCCCTACGTGATTATTCAGGTTTCTACTCAAACGAGCACTGAGGCATTGGTGCTCATCTCCTGTATACAGCCCTCCTGAGCCGGTGGTGAGTCAGCCCAACCCCGGCCGGGATTTGAACACGTGACCACGTGAGCGTGAGGGGCGTGCGGGGAGGAGGGGCCCCAAAATGTTGACCTTTTAATACAGGCTACTGCATTGCTTATAATTAGATATTTCCTCTGGTCAATAAATATCAATATCTGAGTCTCAAGGGGTGGGAGGAGTGGGAGGGAGATCGCCCCTTCCCCCCCCCCCCTCCCCCATTGGATCCGCCCCCAGTCGCCTGCTTTACCGTTGAGTTCCCGGGCCGTCAAGTGCAGAGCGACCCTCGGTGTCATGAGCGTGATGGCTGTCACTGGCAGCTGTGTAGCCGTGGCGACAGAGCAGCACCACGCGGGAATGGGAGCAGAGTCAGGGATGAGATGCATGGGAAACAG